GGTGCCCTGTCATCCAGACCCCTTCCCCTGGCGGCTTTGCTCGAGTGTTCCTTATGTGTGCAAGTGCATGGCCTGTGACCTTCAGTTTGGAGAGCAAAAGGCTTTCCCCTTCCTTCAGACCTACTTGTGAGACTGCAGCTGATAGGGGCAAGCTGGGTGTGAGGTGATCGACCTGGCATTGGCGGTAGGGGAGGGGCAGTGTGAGGGCTAGGGCACCGCAGCCTGGAGGTGGGGTGCATGGGGACTCCAGGAGATGTGGAGGTGAGGCATTGAGGAAAAAAGAAGCTGTCTGGGGAGGCGTCTGCAAGGAATCCAAGCCTTAATGCGGGGGCTGCATTAGCTCCTGCGGAAAGATATGCTGTTTTTGCCCCAGAAGCTTAGAATGGGACCTATGTTAGTTTTGTGCCTGCCTGGGAGAAATTGACTTAAAGGAGCAAGGGTTTGTTTTGGCTCATAGTTTCAAAGCTCTTGGTCCACATCACTTGGCCCTGTTGGATTTCGGCCTGCAGCCAGCTGGCACCTGTGGCTGGAGTGTGTGGTGGGGGAGGTGGCTCACTCATGGCAGCCAGGGAGCACAGAGAAGCAGAAGGGCCTGGGGTTTTGCTCTGCCCCCATGGACAGCCCCACAAAGACCTGCTTCCTCCAACTAAGGCTCACTTCCTGACATTTCTACCACCTGCCAACAGCACTGCTGTTGGGGGACCATGCCCCCAGTGCACGGGCTTTTGGGAGGTCTTTAAGATACAGTCCAGGTGTGGAGATGACAGCTCACTCATCCCGGTATGGTGGTACATGGCTGTGGTCCCATATCTCAGGAGGCTGAGGCAGGAGCATCATGGATTCCAAGTCAGTCTGAGCAGTGCAGTGGGTTCAAGGCCAGCCTGAGATCCATGGCAAGACCCAATAGAACCTGATTTGGAAATAGGGTGGTTGTCGCTGTGGCAGCACAGTGTGAGCTCTAAATTGGGTTGTCACCAGACAGAGGTGAAGTTTTCTTCCAAAGATAGGAATTCTTTGCTTAGGGTCCTTGAATAAGAATTTCTGGACAAGGGGCTGGGAAGATGGCTCAGTGGTAGAGCGCTTGCCTTGCATGCATGAGGCCCTGGGTTCGATTCCCCAGTACCACATAAGCAAAAAGAAAAAAAGCTGGAAGTGGCGCTGTGGCTCAAGTGGTAGAGCGCTAGCCTTGAGCTGAAGAGCTGAGGGACAGTGCCCAGGCCCAGAGTTCAGGCCCCTCCAGACCCAAAAAAAAAAAAGAACTTCTGGACAAGTCACAATAGTAAGAAGACTCGGCACAGCTTTATTAAGTAAACAAGCAGGCAAGCAGACCGACAAAAAGCAGACAAACACACAGAAGGGCAGGGACATACTCTAGCAAGAGTGTGGGTGCTCTCATAGGGAGATAGGGGTGTTTATATGGTAAAGGAAGGGGTCTGGTTTCAAAGTTATGTAAAGATAAGTGCTTTATCTTTGCTGTAATCACACCTGCTGTTACCTTCTGAGTTTCCAGGTGAGAATGCATCCTGCATAAAACAGATCCTTATCCTTGAGATAAGGAGGTGCCCTGCTATCTGTATTTTGGGGAAGCATTTTTTCTCAGGAAGGCATACATCCTGTGAGACAGGTGTTCATTCTTGGGGTGAGGAAGCATCCTCAGGAAGGGAGTATCCTGTGGTCTATCTTTGAAGTAAAGCTGGCACTTCTGTGTTTCTAAATACTGCATTTCTGGATTGACTTCACCAGGCCTCATTTTCCTCAGGTTATCCTGTTTCTTTCTTTTCCTTTCCTTTTCTTTTTTTCTTTTTCTGTTGGTTGTGGCGCTTGAACTCAGCCTGGGCGCTGTCCCTCAGCTCTTCAGCTCAAGGCGAGCACTCTACCGCTTGAGCCACAGCGCCACTTCCGGTTTTCTGAATGGTTAATTGGAGATAAGAGTCTCATGGACTTTCCTGCCTGGGCTGGGATTTGAACCGCGATTCTCAGATCTCAGCCTCCTGAGTAGCTAGGATGACAGACGTGAGCCACCGGTGCCTGCCTTATCCTGTTTTATTTTTACCTAAATGACTTTGGTCCCTTGATCTTAAGGGAAGCGTATGAAGAAATGTCTCCTGTCTTTGCTGTTAGCTGACCATACCTCATTTTCCTCGTTTATCTAGCTTCAGGGCGACTGCTGTCATATGAGGGCAGGGGACTTCCTCAGGAAGGGTGAACCTTGCAGGGCCAGCGGGTGCCCTGGCTGCACCTCTACCCTGAAGTCGGGGTTATCCCACAGTATACTGATAAGGATGTTTTCACTGGGGCCAATCATTTACAGGAATAGGATATGGCCAGGTGGCCCGGGGAGTTTTATGTTTGTTGTTTTTGTTTTTTTTTTTTAAGTTTGGAGGTGGGAAAGCGTTTTCCACTTGGGTTTATTTAATTTATCTGGTGGCAGGGGACATCATGTCTAATCCTGTCTGAGCTCATTGGGTCAGGGGTGAGTTTGGCTTTTCCCACAGCCACGTTCCCACCCCTGAAGTGAAGTCTGGACCCTGTCACTTTGTTTAGCAGTTTCCTGGTTTGGTTTTATTTGCTCAGCTATTGGCACGGAGAATGCACAGAGACATCTTTGTTTTAAGGTAAACAGAGACACCTGTAACGCTTAGGGTCTGGGTGAAGGTGCTGCGAAGCCTCTAGGGCTGAATTGAGGTCACTCGTGTCAACATTATTTTATTGTATTCATCAGCTCTTTTATAAGAACTCCTCCCCCCCCCTTTCTTGGGCAATGTGCGGCTGGCAAGAAGGGCCCTCAAGCCTCATGGTAGGCATTTCTTCAGCCCCCTCCCCTGAAGACCGCTCCTCTCCCTAGTTCCTCCACAGTAACTCCCCAGTGCCTGGGAGCAGATACTGGAGGCCTCCTCTGTGTGGGAGATGCGATGCACCTCCTGCTGTGCCTGAGGCTGCAGGCAGATGCTGGAAGAAGTATTAGGTGGCATCGTGGCCTGTCTGACTGGGTCCAATGCACTCACAGGGCCCCTAAAGATGCAAGAGGGAGATGGGAGAGGGAGAGAGATGTGAAGATGGATGCAGGGCAGGGCCGGAGGGGAAAGTAGGGACTCCGAGTCGGGGAGGGCAAGCAGCCACAGCTGCTGGAAATGACGGGGAAATGCATTCTGCCTTGCAGCCTCCAGGGGGAGTGCGGTGGCACTCACACCTTCAGCTTAGCTAGCACGCCGCTCTCATTGCAGACTTGGGACTGAAGCACTGGAAGAACACGTTTGTGTTGTTTAAAGTCTCCAGCTGCATCATTTTAAGCTTTTGTGCTGTGGTAACTACCACCCCTTCCACCAGGAGGGGCAGGTCGACAGCAAAGGCCAGCCTGGGACTACCAGGCCTTGTCTGAGCAGTGCTGAGACCCTAGCTCCATAAGGGCTTTGTTTGAAGTAACAAGTCCCTCCAGTAAGTATGCTTAGCTGTCAGGATCCCGGGATTATGGATGCTCAGAATTTCCTATGATTTCCTTCATCATCTCTAGGCTACTCTGATTTCTCCTGTTTTTGTTTCTTTTTTTAATCCAGTTAAATTTTGTGGGAAATTTAATTTATTGATCTAGTTATTAACCTTTTTTGGTGGTATTAGGCTTTGAATTTAGGACTTTACACTTGCAAGGCAGGTGCTGTACCACTTGAGTCACATCTCCAGCCCTTTTACTCCAGTTATGTTTAGATAGGATCTCAAAAGTGCCCCCTCCCACCCCACCCAGTGGCTACTTTACTCACAGGACTCCTGGTAGACTTTGCCACACTCTCGACTCCGCCTCAGTGGATCTTCTTCATGATTTGTACATTCTGTACTTAATAATTACTCTAAAATGTGTCCTCGCCCCATGATCAACATGCATGACAAACTTAACTGCTGTGTCATCTGTGGGCATGGACAGAGCGGTGGAAGTTTCCGTCTCCCCCAGCACACATGTTCCGAGCTGAGGTATGCCAGACGCTGCTGCCTTCCTGGCTCATACCATGTGCAAGGGTTTATCCAGTGCCCCTTTTTCCTGTTTGGGGGTAGTGGTTGTTGGTTTTCCTGTTTAGTGTGGTCCTATATGGCCAAGTGCAAAGAAGGCTGGGTGAGCCTAACGGGAAAAACAACAACCAAACAACCTTGTGTTTGACATACTTTATTCAGCTGTGAGTTACCGTACTGTTGGCCATGAGTACGGCGAGAGTGCATCAGCAAGGTGTGCTTTAAACGGAAGCACGTGAACAGAGCGCTTATCCAGTGATCTGAGTGTGAAGGCGGTGACTGGGGACTTGTGGTAGTCACTAGGGACCTTGTGCAGAGAATAGTAAGACCTGAGTGCAGGCTGCTGTGGTGTTCCGCGTCCAGGAGGTCTAAACAGGAGGATCGTGGGCCAAGTCAGCTCCAGGCTAAACCTGGGTCACTCCTTCCGACTTCCACATCCACTTAGCTTGTCTGTTTTGAAAGCTTCTCCTTCACACTGTGCCTTAATGTGGGTGTGTCCCTCCAGTGGGCAGTCTGCAGCTTAGGACTCACTGGCCCCCTGCCTGGGTCACCGCCTCCTGCAGAGCCCCCACCTGGTGGACGCAGATCCCTGGACTTCCAGGATGAAGCCCAGGGTGCTAACAGGAAGACCTCGTGCAGGGCTTACAGGGCTTACAGTGCTCACCCTGTTTCTGTGCATCAGCAGTGGGATGTGAGGAGCCAGGCCAGGCCAAGGAGCCTGTTCCCGGCCAGAAGCTGGAGCCTGGGCCCTGGGGCTCCCCTTTCCTAGCCCTCTGGGAGCCGTGGGCACTTCCTACGAACAAGCCTTGACTGGAAGCTCTGAATTCTTGCAGCTCTGCGCTGCCATCCAGTGAAGCCTCCACTCATGGGGTTTGTGGGCTGAGCTATTGTCTGTGTGTTTCCTTTTTCGAGTGGGTGGGAGCCAGATTGGCAAGCGCCTGTGAATGAAAGGGTGGGGGCTCACTGATGCCTCTCGAGCGCTCTCTCTGCTTCTCCCCCAGCTCCGGAAGAGAAGGAAGTCATCAGAGGGCAGTATGGCAAGCTCACCGATGCTTACGGCTGCCTGGGGGAGCTCAGGTTAGACTCCGGTGAGTAGTCATCACCTCCGCGCCCCCCCCCCCCCCCCCCCCCCCCGTGTCTCATGGTTGGTTTGGGGGCGGGGCCGAGGTGATATCTTTTTCTGTCTCTCACCTGCTCTTCCGCCAGGGAGGCATGGGGCTCTCACCGATCTGAGAGGAGGCAGATGTGGACCCAGAAGCATGCACCTGCGCTGTTTGCCCTCCACACCTGTTTTCCCAGAGTCTGCTGTGGGGGAAGGGTTGTTTGTTGTTTGCCAGGGATCTGTGCTCATTCTAAGGGGTGCAGCGTGTAGACCGGAGCCTGGGGCATCACACGGGACTCCTGGACAGGCTGGGAAGGAGGAGGGGCGGGCCTGGGGCTTGCTAGCCAGGGGAGAAGAGCCACCAACGCTGCGTGGGTGTGAGGGACAAGAAAGGAAACTGCGTCTGAACAAGCGGTCTGATGGGAGGGAGAGAACTCACCGGAAGAGGTGGGCTTCCCTGCGCCTCCCAGGCCGAGCCAGGTACGGCTAGCCACCTCTGCGGCAGCGTTCGTAGCCTCCAGCCTCTCCCCAGGGCTCTCTGTTCTGCAGCCACCCTGCCCTTCCTCCTCACCCAGGCGCACCTGCTTGAACCTGGTCCCGCGTGGTGACAGGGCTGTGGAGTAGACAAGCGTGGGTCACGTTCCTGTGGGGAATGGCTGTGGGGTGTCCAGACTCAGCCCTTGGGCCTTTTCCTGAACCCTGCATGTGAAACTCCTGTGCGTGTCAAAAAACAAAACAGTGCTCATGTGCTGGCCACTGCTTTTCTGGGTCTTTCTGTTATTTGCTGAGCTATGATGATTATAATCATTTCCAAATAGGACATGTTTAGGGAAAAAACCTGGCATATCATGACAGGATGCACTCTATGTATGTATGTATGTATCTTTCTCTCTCTCACTTTTTACCACGTCTGGTGCTCTGCAGCCATACCTCCATTTCTGGCTCTTTTCTTTTTTTGTTTTTGCTAGTTCTTTGGAAATAAAGAGTCTCATACTTTCTTGCCCTGGCTGGCTTTAAACTGTGATCCTCAGATCTCAGCCTCCTTAGTAGCTAGGACTACAGCTACAAGCCACCAGCGCCCCATTCAGATCGCATTTATTAAACATCATTTTGTGCCAAGGGTTCACTTCTTTCCTCCTGAGAATAAGCTAATGTGGTAACACATTTCTGTGCCCCTTTTCAGTAAAGACAACAGGCCCAGAGGGTTCAGGTGAAGATTGGTGTCAGGGAAGAAACTGGGCTGGAACTCACTAACACCTCCAGCTGCCCTCCAACACTGGCTTCTTTGGGGTCAGTGACGTCTGGGGTTGGAGCAGGCTTATCCCCTGCAGGGTCTTCCTGACCTCCAGATCCCCAGAGTGCTGGGCACGTGAGGTGCTGGCCCACACTGAGTCACGCTCTGCTCTGCTCTATGTGTGGAGTAAGGCCTTAATTTACTAACTCAGAGGAGGAGGAGCTTGGCATGGCTGCTCCCCAGCTTGGCACATACTGAAGCAGAAGTCTGGAAGCTTCTGTTCTGTCCTCCAGTCCCAAATCTTCTCTTTGCAGGGTAACTTCCAGGCCCAGGGGAACAGCTTACAGGCAGGCCTTACAGTCAGAGCTGGCACCTTTTGGAACATGCAGACATGATTGATTTTTGCCTCTGGCAGGGATGTGGATTCAGGGATGTATAGGAGCTGATGTAACTTTATGGCACCGGAGCTGTTCCCCCACCACGCTGTCTCCCTTTGTGTCCGGGGCAGTAGGCTGCCTCACCTCCACGGGCCTCCTCATGGGTGGGGACGCCAGCATGTGAATGTGACAGCCGGGGCACTGGCTGGCCACAGCCCTCTAGAGGACAATGAGTGGTAACTGAACACTGCTGACTTCAAGGCCAGGTGGAGTGTGGCCTTTCGGCGAAGCCCCAGGTTCACAGCTCTGTTCCAGCCCAGCCCAGTGACTCAGCTTCCCTGGGGACCCCACTTGTGTGTGTCCTCGTGATGGCTCTAGAAGACAGGGTGGTACTGTCCTCTGAGAGCTGGTGACAGTGCGGGAGCCAGACTCGGCTTGGGCCACAGCCTGGTGGTACGGTAGCCCCAGAACAGGTTCAGACCTAGGGCACCTCCACCCCATCATGTGGGCAGGCTACCTAACCTCCTGTGGCTGCTGCCCCCTTCGTAAACTGGGCTGACAGCCATCCATCCATCCCCGCGGGGTTGTTAGAAGATGAAGTCCATGTAGGTGAAGGCTGTCCCAGGTGTGCCCACCAGGGGGTGATCTCTCACCCCTCCCCTTCCCTTTCTTCACCGCCACACGCCCTCCCCGGCCTCCCCCAGGCAGCCAGCCTATGCCTTCTTAAGCAGCCTGGGATTCCTGCCAGGGACTTGGCCCCACGCAGAAGCTGGTGAGGGAGTGGGACTAGAAATCCATGTTCCGGCTCCTATGGAAGGACAGAAGGCAACACTTCCAGGCCCCTCCTGAGCCTCCCAGCCTGGCCCAGCCAGGGCTGCCCTGTGGCCACACGAGGAAACGTGGCTGAACGCCACTTTTCCCAGCATTGAGCTTGAGGCAGGCGCGCGCCAGGGAAGTCGGTCCAGCCAAGATCGCGGGACCGTCTGCCCACCTGAGCCTGAGGACGGCGAGGTGTTGGCCTCACCTGCCCAGCCGGGAAGCTCAGCCCTGACCCAGCGCTGCCTGAGCGCCACGCTTCATCTTAGGTTGTCCTGCAGTGGTTTGGGGATGGAATCACAGGCTGACCACCTGGAGCCGTTCTTGCTGGCACTGCCCCTTTGTGTGGGTCCAAGGAGCTGCTGTCTTGCTGCCCGTGGGCACAGCATTGCTACAGCATTGTGTGGCGGAAGTGGTCCTGCAGGCGCCGTGTCACTGTCCCTCGGGAGCCTGCTGGCGCGGCTGACCCTCCAGGAATTCACGTAGGAAATGCTTCCCAGACACTGGAGGGGACCTGTGCTCCAGGCAGAGGCCCGCCCCCAGACATCCCCGTGTGCCAGGGAGGAGGCCCAGGCTGTGACTGCAGGCGATGTGGCCTGGCAGGGGGCTCTCGTCACACAGAGGGACCCTCAACTGTATCTCAGGAGACCGGGGAAGGCTTCTTGGAGGAGGTGTTGTGGTGGGTCGGGGAGGAGGAGTTTGTACAGTGACGGGAGGGCGGAGGCTGTTCTAGAAGGTAGGAGGCTGGGAACTTTGTCTTGGGGCCCATGAGGACAGAACTGGGGTGGGGGAGGGAAAGGGGCCTCTGGTGAGGCTCTGTTGGGCAGATGACACGGGACGGTCAGCTTTGGTGGGGGGTGGCGGGGGAGGAGATCTCGGCAAAGCCACAGTCATGGGAACAAGTGGTTTGAGGAGTGGCAGAGCCTCGAAATGTCCATCATATGTTTGGGGGGCGGGGCAGAGGAGAGGTCCCAGATGGAGTTTCCCTTCCGGTGCCAGGCCCAGGTGGCCACGGAGATCAGAGGAGAATGGGGATACCATGCCTGTGGCTGCCATGTGGGACCCTGGCTAGGGCTGAGGCAGGGCTGGCCAATAGTGAGGAGCGGGGATCACAGGGCCCTGGGTGTCCACTTGGGGTGGGTTCAGGGGTCTCAGCATCCCAGTTGTGCCCACCACCCACTGTGTTGGGTGAGAAACCCCATATCTAATGAGCTCCTGCCCCTGGCTGTGCACCTCGCCCAGCTTAGGTGGCAGGCCCCAGGAAGGCCCCAGGTTAGACATCTGGTTAGGGTTGGGGTTGTGGCAAGTGACCCCTGAGCGCAGGGCCTTCAGCTCAGTGTGTGACCTCCCATGCAGGTGGCACCTCCCTGAGCTTCCTGGTGCTGGTGACGGGCTGCGCGTCCGTGGGCAGAATCCCAGATGCAGAAATCTACAAGATCACAGCCATCGAGTTCCACCCTCTGCAGGAAGAAGCCCGGGAGGAGGATCGCCTCCTCGCCTTGAGGAAAATCCTCAGCTCGGGCGTGTTTTATTTCTCCTGGCCCAACGACAGCTCCTGCTTTGACCTGACCGTCCGGGCGCAGAAGCAGGGTGATGACAGCTCCGATTGGGGGACCTCCTTCTTCTGGTGAGGGTCTGGGTCCCACAAGGGGTGGGCTCTGGTGGCACCTGTGCTCCCCGCCCATGAGAAAGTGAATCTCGAAACCTCCACTCACTGTGGTCTTGGGAATGCCTTCACTGGGTCCTAAGTGGATTTAGCAGAGAAACTCGCCACAGCAAGAAGCAGTTCAGCTTCATCTGCAGGTGTTTTCTGTATGCTGGGCACAGCGCTTCTTCCTGGATTTGCCATACAGGGCATCTCTCTGCTCTGCCATGTCCCGATATTTACCTGTGACGTTTTATAGCACCATTCTAGCACCATCCTAAACTCTCTGCAGAATATGGAAACTAGAATCCTCATGCCTCTCTAAGGGGTCATCTGTGCTACTTCATTCTAGATAGGGAAACTGAGGAATAAATAGTGAGGGGATTTTGCCAACTCCACACACCTGATAAGAGGCAGAGGCAAAATTTAAACCCATGCATTCTGGCTCTATGCCCTAAGCTGGGAATCACAAAGTTAAACTGGTCCTACCTAAAGGGAAACTGAGCAGCTGGTGGGAGGTGTCCTGTATCAAGCTGGTTGGGTTTCTGGATGCACTGGGTCATCTGGCCTTCAATCCGCATGCGGACAGCTGCAGGTGGACAGCCCTGTCAATTCTTGGATGTCTATGGGTCTTTCTAGGCCCGGCTCCGGAAGGACCAGTGGAATTGCTGAGAGGGGCTGTGCTTGTGTAGGCTGGTGCCAGGCCTGCTGGCCATTTATGCTGTCCAATTCCCCCAGGGGTGGGAAAGAGGACAGCAGAGGCGGTGCTGGTACACACCAGCCAGTGCATCACCCTGACTGGAGTCCCAGAATGCCCCTGTGGAGCCACACAGCAATTCCAGCCCTGAGGCGGGGCCATGGACGTATGTCCTGCCCCTCCGCGCCTCACTTTGAACAACCAATGAGCCAGTTAACATTACTTCTTTCTAAAGAGTAAAATTCCATTGTATATATGTCCCACATGGTCTCGATCCTTCACCCATGGTTGTTTTTGTTTAGTAATTGCCCAGACTTTGGCATGCAGAATCCTATGATCTTGTTAAGATGCAGACCACACGCTGAGTAACAGGTGCCAGGCGTTGCCCTTTCTGCCAATCATGGCTTCCATTTGGTGGGGACCAGCATGTGTCCTTCAAGCCACAGTGAGGGACATGCGGCCAGGATGAGGAGATTCAGGAGTGGAGCTGAGAGGGGCTGGGGAAGGGAGACCCCCCCCTTGCCCTGGGAAATTTTAGAAGTGGGCACAGGCTAGATTTGGAGTTGGGAAGAAGGAAGGCTCAGCTGGTTTCCACCTCCAGGGTGGAGGACCTAGAGAGGAGTCCATGAAACAGACTAGAGTGGAGTCGCTGGGCAGAGCAGCCATAGCCTGATGGCCTTCAGCGCTGCGTTTGGCCATCCCTGCTGCTGTGGGGGGAGAGAGGGAGAGAGAGAGAGGATGGCAGGTGAAGTCCAGCTCTGAGAAATGCTTCCTCCTGGGTATACATCGCTTTCTTTCATGGAATTGGGTCTCCCGTGCTGGCAAGAACTCTCCACGGAGTTGGCAGACCGTGGAATCGGCAGTCGTGATCTCAGTGCCATGGTGGATTTAATATATTTGTTACCAAAGCGGTTTATCATCCGAGGTTTAGAGTGACTCACGGGGGGCGGGGGGAGGGGGGGGATCCTGTTTCTGGGGTGTTGCACTTCTGGATCATTCTGCACACAGAGGACTGCCTGGAGTCAGCGGAGCACACGTGGGCTAGGCTCCCCGAGGGGCGACAGAGGCTGAGGTCACAGTCCAGGGGACTGGCCAGAGAACAGAGGAGAAGCTTCCAGACACTCCCACACTGCAGCTCACAGCAGGCATTTCCTGCGGTCATGCCCCACTGTCTTTGCCCCCGTCTTTACCGAAGCTCTAGGATGGGAATCGCATTAACTTGTTTTAGACAACTAGGGCATTGTGATCTAGACTTGACCCAGCTCTGTAAGAGAGAGTCCCCTGTGGACTGGCCTTAGAATGGCACTGTGCAGGCTTGCGGGCAGAGGGGAGGGGAGGGTGGTGTGGCTGTATGGAGAGGGAGGGGCTTGGAGCTAGGGTGGAGCTCGGTGGTAAAGTGCTCACCTAGCAAGTGGGAGGCCCTGGGATTGATACACAAAATAAATAAAGTAGAAGAGGAGCTCAGGCTGCCACTGCTGGCCCAGAACGTTGGGCCACGACTTCTGCCTGTTTCTTCACCTGTACCACGGGGTTTTGCTAACACCTTTTTTGTGGGTCCAGTTAGCTCATCCCAAAGCCCTGGGCACCCGGCACTGTGCACATGTGCACCGCGCAGTTCCAGCATCATCGCTGCCAGGTAGGGGAAGGAAATAATGCGACATCCACTGACTTTTTTGGTCTTCTTAGACTCTGCTTATTTGGATTGCTGTGTGGTACTTTAATTATATTCACCTTGTGGTGTGTGGACATGTATTTAAATTTAAACAGGTGTGTGTATGCATATATAGATATGCCAATGCCAATGTACTTATTTTATCATTGATAAGTATTACTTAATCAAAACACAAATACATTTTTTTGTAGTCCTGGGGTTTGAACTGAGGGCCTTGCATCTACTAGGCAGTCATTCTACCATTTGAGCCATGTCTCCAGCCCTTTTTTTGCTTGTTATTTTTCTGATAGGGATTCGTATTTTGGTCCAGGGAAACCTTGGGTCACCATCCTCCTACCTCTCCCTGCCATGCAGCTAGGTTCATAGGAATGTACCACCATGCCTGGCTTATAGGCTGAGATGGGGGAGGCCGTCCTCACTAACTCTCTTGCCTGATTTTGGCTGACCTTGAACCATAATTCTTCTGATCTTTGCTCCCAGAATAGTTGGAATTATAGGCATGAGTTGCCACACTTGGCCTTATGATTGCATTTTTTTAAAAAAATTGGGTTCTAACACAAAACTGGGGTAGCTACAAGCCTAGAGACTCCTTTGAACGTCCCCAAACCACAGGGACTGGGGCTGGGAAGGTGGCTCAGTGGTAGAGCGCTCGCCTTGAGCTGAAGAGCTGAGGGACAGCGCCCAGGCCCAGAGTTCAGGCCCCACGGCAGATAAAAACAAACGAAACACAGGGACTGGTTAGCTCGAACCCCAGCTTTGCTCCCGTTGCCCCACGTTGATACCTGGGAGTAGCTTTGGGAAAGGTCTTGTGGCTCCTTCTCCTGGAGTCTCAATGAAGCGCAGGAGCTTCCTGGATCTGAATGGCCCTGGGTGCGGGCTGTACTAGGTTACAGCGTGAGCTTGCTTGGCTTCGCTCTGGCTCTGTCTGAGCCCGGCTCCCACAGGTGCCTCTCCTTGCTCCGGGTGCTAGAGACGGGACGGCGGCCGCAGTCTGTGTGGTCTGTGTCTTGTAGGAACCAGCTGCTGCACGTGCCCCTGAGGCAGCATCAGGTGAGCTGTAGCGACTGGCTGCTGAAGGTCATCTGCGGGGTGGTGGCTATCCGCACCGTGTACGCCTCGCACAAGCAGGCCAAGGTCTGCCTCATCTCTCGCATCAGCTGCGAGCGTGCCGGGGCTCGCTTCTACACCCGTGGCGTGAACGATGATGGCCACGTGTCCAACTTCGTGGAGACAGAGCAGGTGAGTGCCCAGCCCATCCACGACACCAGATGAAGCAGCCACGTGGCTTGTGTGGAGAGAGGCCCTGGTGTGTTTGAGCTGATTCCTGATCATGGGCCCCTCTGCTGTGTGTCATTTAAGAAGTTGCAGCTCTGCTTGGGAATGTTGGCATGGTCTTTTCTTTTTTTCTGTTGGTAGCACAAGGGTTTGAACTCAAGACTTCACATTTGCTAGGCAGTTGCTCTAGCGCTTGAGCCACACTGCCATCCCTTTCTGCTTTCAGTTATTTTCAGATAATTTTTCACATTTGTGCCCCGCCTGGTGGGGACCAAGTCCCTTCTGCTTGTGCCTCCCTCGTAGCTAAGATGACAGGTGTGTACCACTGCTCCAGCGTTACCAGTTGATGTAGAATCTGGAAAGCTTATTTCCTGGGCTGGCCTCAAACCTCAGTCCTCCTTATCTGTGCTTCTGTCAGTGTGAGTCTCCATTATTTGGCCTGATTGTCTTTTTTTAATTGACATCTTAAATTGGAAAATGTTGTTGAGCTAAGGTATTTTTAAAAGGGAATCCAGAATGGTTTCTGTGGTTGACGAGGGTGCCTCTAATTCCAGGAGCAGCTACCAGATGAACTAATAAGGGGTGAAAAATCATTTTAGGTGAAAAAGAGATGAATACAGAGGAAGGATAGAGGAAACAAGCTGAAGCTCGACCCTAACTCGTGTGGGACCTCGGGGCCGAGCAGCCTTTGCGGAGCCCCTGCAGGGCCGAGCCATCTGCACAGCTCCTTCTTGCTTGTCTTTCTAAACTTCTGTTCTCTCTCCGGGAGATGCTGTCTTACACCTGTTGTTGCCTTTGGCTGTGATTCACACCCTGGAGGATAATGCCATCTTGTGTGTGATCAGCTAGAAGGGGGAAAGTTGCAGAGAGGCCCAGGTGTGAAGCTGCTCTGCTGTGCAGAGCCAGCTGCGGCTGTCCTACCTGTACAGTGCAGGCGTGGCTGGCCGCATTCCTTACTCCACCGCTGTGCGGAGCCTGGTGTCTGTGTTCTCACCGGATGGAGCAGGCCACCATGGAGAACGTAGCCAGCATGATGCTGGGGCTGAAGGTGGCTACCTGTGGATGGGCGCATAGCTCTCCAGGGCTGTGCCCAAGACCTTTGGGTCTTCAGGAGATTGCTTATGAGCCCACAGGTCAGGAGAGGACAGGGATGAGGCTGTGAGGCTTCTATTCTCAGAGGTGTGTGTGTGTTTGTCGGTCGGTTGGTCTGTCAGCTGTTTGCCTCTCACTTGGCTCTCTGGCCACTTGCTGACAGAGGTGCTTCTGATAGCATCAGGAGACTGGGGACAGTGGGTGGGGTCAGCCTAGTCGGAGCAGCTGGGGAGGAAGTACGGCACCATAGGCAGGGGGCCCTGCCTGCCACCTGGTTGGAGTGTTCAGTGAGCACTGCGTGTCCCGGGGGGAGACCTGTCACACCCTCCTCCCTGGCATCTACAGAGTCAGGACTGTAGGTCCTGGGTCATGATGGTACCACCCTCAAACATGCATCTGGTAGCCTCCCTTACGGTGAGTCAGCAGATGACTCCGCCCTCCGAGGTTTGGTCGCAGAGAGGGGTCTGTTCTCCAGGTGGTTGGTGTCACCTTCTCTGATGGCATGTGACATCTTTGGCGGCGGGTACACAGCCTTGACAGGAAGGAGGACTTCTGGGGGCCGTGCAGCCTGGCGGCAGCGTGACTCGGGGCAGAGTGGCCCTGCGTGGGCCTGTGGGAGGTAACCCAGTTCCCCCAAGTCAATTCTCAGGGTTCAGGAAGAGGTGCCCGAAGAACTCTCATATCTGCCCCGTTCTCAGGAATAAACGGTCTTCCTTCCTCCTTCCACTCGAGCTATGTGGGTATGGAGGGAGAAGGGGGCGTGTGTGCATGCTGTGTGCACTCGCATTTTGCATCTCTTGTGTGTGTGTGTGTCACATGCGTTGTGTATCACGTGACTTGTAATGTGCACTTGTGTTGTGGGCTTGTGTGCCGTATGTATTTTCTTAGTGTCACATATGCCTTGTGTGCTTGTATTGTTGGCATGTATGAGTTGTATGTCCATGCATATGTCATTTGTCACATGCCCTGTGTGTGTATGTGCTGTAGGTGTATGTTGTTGGTGTGTGAGTGTGTGTGTGTGTGTAGCCTGGCACGCTCCTCAGGGAGGAAGTAGTCTGAAGTCCTCGTGGTCAGCCGTGAGTCACATGTGGGGTCCTCTCTGCGCAGGACTCACTGCAGGCAGCGAACCCTCAGCTTATCAAACAAAGGAGGAGAGAAAAGTCTGGCTGTTGCCTATCAGGCCCTGGGCCACCCAGGGAGGTGAGGACGCCCAAGAGGCCTCATGGAAGAAGCTGTCTGGAAACATTGGATCTGGAAGTAGAAGCCCAGTCAGGCCTCTCTAGTGGAAAGTCTGCACCGTTGTGAGCTAGTCCTTTGCTGAGGGGAGCACTCGGGGCGACCCCTGGCTGCCGGGCCCAGAGGCTGCAGCCCTGCCGGGCCTTCTGCTGCACTAGCCCGGGACTCCCGTCTTCCAGGCAGGGGCACCTGCTTGCCTTTGGGGCTGCTGTTCTTCCTCCTCTCCCTCCTCCTCTGCGTCTTGTCTCTGTTTGGATTCTTCCTTCCTGCCGCCTTGCCACACTGGTCCTCGAGTCTGCCCTGCTGGCCTCCTGGCCTCATCTATTCTCAGAGTGAATTTTTGGAGTGACTGCTCTGGGCTGGGAGAGTGCTTCCTTGTTTACCCTCTGGGCACCAGGTGGCCTTGACTCCATTGAGAGAGGGACCCCAAGGCTGATGTGGTTAGGAATGTACTCAGGGCCATCCTGCTACACAGATGAGAGTTTGCAAAACTGAGCTAGACTAGGGCCTTTCCCACCTGCATTACTCACTATCCTGCTCGCCTCAGAGGGCATCTATAGGCTGTGCATGGTGGAGCACACCTGTAATCTCAGCTACTCAGGAGGTAGAGATAGGAGGATCATGGTCCAAAGCCAGGTAGAGCAAGGGCCTGAGACTTAATCTGAAAAAAAAGCTAAAGTCCAAAAGGCTGCAAGTATAGATGCAAGTGGTAGAGCACTTGCTTAGCAAGCGTGAAGCCCCGAGTTCAGATTGCAGTATCTCTCCTCCGGTTCTCCCTCCCGCTTCCCTCTTCCCTCCCCCTCCCCCCATCTCTTCACCTTCTCCTCTCTCTTCTCCCTCTCTCCCTCTCCCTCTCTCCCCTCCCCCTCCCTCCCTGCATCTCTCTCCCCCTCCCTTTCCCTCCCCCCCCTCCCCTCCTTTCTCTCTCTCTCTCAGAGGCATCCATGAAGCAAGACAGTCCCACAAGTGTTCAAGCTGTTCTTTTGCCCAGGACAGCGCTGTGGTGCTTCTTTTCTCTGGTGCCGATGAGACGCAGGCATAGCCAGTTTTCCTGGGGAGAAGGTATGGACACCTCGTCCTGGCTTGTGCCCAGTAGGGGAGGTGTTCAGGCACTCAGCGCTCCAGTTTTCCAGAGCTGGCTCTGGGCAAGCCGCATTGCGGAGGAGCCAGGTTTGAGTGCCGTGTGAGGCCCCCTGAGCCTAGGCCAGATCCTGGGCGTTGTGAGCGTCTGTCTTCCTGTGAGAATGTGGCCTGTGTGCATTACAGTGCTGGTCATAAAGCACAGGAAGATGTCCTGCATCCTAGCGTTGCCGCCACAGCTGTGTCATGTTGAACCAGCTGCTGTGCTTGGTGGGTGTACCAACGCTGCTGGCCGTCAGTACCTGCGAACAGAAGGCACACTCTTAACCCAGTGTTTTTTTCCTTTGGCATCTAATTACAGCCCCAACACAGGCTTGCACCATTCCTGTGGTCTGGAGACCACGCAGGTCTCGCTGTCAGTCCCCCTTCCCCTGCAGAATTACTAATGCATGTGTGATCTGAGTGCGATCTAGCCTGCATGGAAAGCTACCCTGTAAGGGAGCAGGCTGGTGAGCAATGGAAAGGCCTCGCAGAGATGCCCTGCCAGGCCAGGGTAGGGTTGCGCAGATAAAGGCCGGCATCTGATAACCACCGCAGCCATCCCCTGCCAGTGCTCAGAACCGTACTTTTTGTTCTTTAAACTCCCATGTGCTCCTTCCCATATCAGAGAGGCCCACAGGCCACTCTGGGTGCTGGAGAGGAGAAGTTATATTACTATTATTATTTTTTTTATTTTTTTTTTTGGGTCAAGTCGTGGGGCCTGAACTCTGGGCCTGGGCGCTGTCCCTCGGCTCTTCAGCTCAAGGCTAGCACTCTACCACTTGAGCCACAGCGCCACTTCTGGCTTTTTTCTTTTTTGCTTATGTGGTGCTGAGGAATCGAACTCAGGGCCTCATGCATGCAAGGCAAGCGCTCTACCACTGAGCCACTTTCCCAGCCCCCTACTATTATTTTTTTAAAGCATAAGTAGCATTGTTCTGTGCAAGGAGGGAGCGTTAGTGATGTGTGTGGACTGGGAGCGCAGTGGCACAGGACTGGGACCAAAAAGCAAGTTCAAGTTGAGTCTTGAGTTGTCAAGTGTGAGACTGATGGGCAGTGGACTAGGGCTTTCTGCATAGCTGGTTTGTTTTATTTTGTCCTGTCCTTTCCCCAGGCTCCCTGCTCCCAAGCTATTAGGCAGGTGAAAATAATGGCTCTAAGAAAGGTCTTAGTGAAATCCCAGCGCATTTGCTGGTGGGGGCTTTCCAGGGTGATGGAGCTCACAGTCCCACAGACACCCCTCCCCCTCCCCGCCCCGACCCCGGGGCCTGGGCCCTTGAGTCTGCTCCAGCCCTCCGTTTGGGGGCTAATCAGCGGCCTTGTGCACCCTGCTGCCTGGCCACCATTTGGGGAGCAGCGCCAGGCATGCTGGGGGAGAGCAGAGGGCGCTGGAGTCCGCTGCCTGCCCTTCGTGGCTGGTGTCAGGTCGCAGGCACCGGCTCCTGTTACCAGCTCAGGACATTGGGTTTCATTGAAGAATGCCTTTTCCTTTCTGTCTCCTTGTGCTGCAGACAATTTACATGGATGATGGAGTGTCATCTTTTGTCCAGATCAGAGGCTCCGTCCCGCTGTTTTGGGAACAGCCAGGCCTTCAGGTAGGTGACGGGCTGCTCTTCCCCTTCAACCGCTGTGCCTTGCTTCTTTAAACAGGTGTCTTTCATGATGTTGTTTCCTCAGTATATTTATGTTGAGACAAGCTGTTAAAAGTGTACTGTGTGTCTGATGTGCATGTATGTGTGAGCATCAGTGTGTGTATGGGTGAACGACCAACACGCGTAGGGTGAGAGAACACACAGGCGGCTCCAGTCCCGGGGCCGAGTGTTTGCTGTACTTGCTATTGCTCCATGGTAGTGTGGGGTGTCTGCTGAGGCTGGTGCAAACCCCAGAACATGGGTAGGGTCCCCACAAGTGAGACCGTGAGGCCGGTGTTGAGAGTGACTGGCTTTCACGGAATGCTTCAGCAGGGTCCCTGGGGCCCTTTGTGGCTGTGTCACCAGCGGCACTCGGTGCAGCCACGTGAGGATCACACAGAACTTTCCCATGCTTTCTAAAAATACCCCTTGTGCCATTCAGAGTGGGGCTGTGGTGAGCGCCAAAAGGAGTTGGCCTCTGTGTCCTGGGGGGAGTTCAGGGTTCAGGGGCAGGGACACAGCCCTGGAAAATGCTTGTTGTCAATGAAAGGAGCACTGCTCCTGCATTTGGGGCCAAGCCGACTGGATCACTCCTCCCTCCTCTCCTTTTCTCCTCTAGCCCGAGGACATGCGGGGGTCTTCAGAAGACCTCCCTCCAGAATTCGGGGTCTCCAGCTCTTACCAAGAGCTCTTGTGTGGCTGCTGTGGCTCATCACCAGCCACTAAGGAGCCCCAGGCTCCATGCGTCAGGGGCTTAGCCCAGCCCTGGACTTGACCCCATGGCACCTAGAGAGGAGTCCTCTGTCCCCTTAGCCATCAATCAGCATGTGGTGTTGACAGTGTTGGTCACGTGCCGTATCAGCCCTTAGTGAGCTGGATGATGGATGATGGATGGAGCCTTGTCTTTGGGCTCTGAGGAAGACTTTGTTCACACTGCCTTCCCATTCGTGAGGACCACAGTGGCGGTGCAAAGGGGCCTCCGGACTGACCTCGACTTGGGTGGTACCATGGAAAATTCCTCAGGAGCGTTTCCCAAAGGAGATCTTTTGGAACCAAATTACTGAGATGTTACCTCCGTGCCGAAACTCCACCCACTTGAAACACCCAACTCTGTGAGGTTTAGTGCATTTATAGATCTGTGTAGCAATCTAATTTTAGAGCTCTTTTTCTTTTTCTTTTTTTCACTTTGGTGCTGGGGACCAAACCAGGGGTCTCGTAGAAGCTAGACAAATGCTCTACCACTGAGCCCCTAATATGAGGACCTTGCACCACTGCCTGAAGTCCCTGCATCATTAGCAGACTCCCTTCCTTCCAGCTCAGACTCGGGCCTACATAACCTTTAGTCTACTTAATGACTTGATAAGATTTCCTGCTCTGGACATTCAATTTGAAGGGAGAGTTTGAAATTTTATTTTCTTTAAATGTGAGATATTTCTCCAGAAAACGTCTTGACCTCTGAATTTAGTGAGGCCCTGTCTCAAAAACAAAACAAAGCAGCAAAACAAGCAAGCAAGCAAACAAACCCCGTAGATCAATGAGTAAAGTATAAGGAGGAGTCAGGGAGTCTATGGTATGCGTGATGCAGAACTCATGAGAAATCCCAAAATTATCCTGACCGGTTTTAGACTTGAAAAGATACTGTGAGATGTACCGGTTTCCCTCCCTCTCAGCTTAGGGTCCTTTTCCCAGTACCTCAGACAGGCCATGCTCCCATGCCTGGCGATGGCTCTTACAGTCTACCAGTTCCTCCTTGTCCTAGGCTCTGTTCCTCTCTCTCCAGGGTGTTCAGGGGTGTACTTCACCCTGGAGTTGGAATTGCATGGTCCTTTTCCTTCCTCTGTTTCCTCTGAATCTTTTGACCATCTTCTAGGACTCGTGATATTCTGATTTCCCTCATGGAAAATAAAACCGAGAATGTTTGTCATTTCCTATGTAATTATGGGAAGCTCTCCAGCCTGCCCTTCATGCCGGTCCAGATGCAGCCTGACGCTGCCATGGAGGGTGGTGCTCCGTTTGGCATAGCCGAGGGTGGGACATGGCAGCTGACACATGCTCGTGACTCTCCAAAGCCCCTGTGTGTCTTCAGACATAGTTCCAAAGCCTTCCTGTTCTCAGTCTTCTGAGGGATCTGCTCACTTTGGGGCCCCGTACCTATGTGAACCTCTTAAGGGCCATCCAAGAGATTCTGAGTCATCTTCAGAGGAGATGGTGGGGGGTCGGGCAGGGGGCAGCCTTCCATAGAGGTCTACAGTCACCAGGATGAACTATCAGTACCAAGCTCAGGAATCCCAACTATTTTTCTCTATTTTGAGCCCCTCCCCATTCTTCGTCTCTTAGGTAGCGTGACAGTTGGAATTTTGTGGGCGAATGGCTTATGTGCGAAGTTGTACTGTTGTGCCTTCTTAGGGGCTGCCCAGGGAACAGAGTCCTGCCCGGGATGGGGAAGGAGGCGCCAGGCAAAGGACCATGCTGATCACCTGTCTGCCAGTGGGCCTGGGCCTGACGCTTTCAGCACACGCTGAGATCTGTGTGCCTTTAGCCCTTTACATCTTTGCCACGTAAACAGGTTGTGTAATAGCCACAATGAAGTGTTGCCCTGCAAACTCACATCTCCTCTGGGACAGCTTGTTACGGGGTGTGGGTGCTATCTGTCACTCTGTGGAAGACTGTTCCCTTGGCCACTGTACAGCTTTCCTTCCTGGGGCCTGCACACTTCACAGACATATACCTGACCTGCACGTGAGTCTGATTTGTGTTTTGTAGTTTCACCTGATGGAAACAGCCAGAAGATGATACACCATGGATTAGAGACTCTTGCCTACATTCACCTCTTCCCTGTCAGGACCTATTTCTTAAGTTCTTAGATAGGTGGGCTGCAAGTGATAGTGTGTGTGTGTGTGTGTGTGTGTGTGTGTGTGTGTGTGTGTGTGTCTGTGTGTCTGTGTGTCTGTGTGTCTGTGTGTGTGTGTGTGTGTGTGTCCACAAAGGTATGAGATTGTGTGTGGTATATCAGTTTCCAGACTAGGTCACTGAAATGGAAAAGTCCTCTGAGTGGAACTGAACAGAGCCAGGGACAAAGTGGGCTGTGTAGGGGGTGTTGGTGAGTCCCATGAAGTAGCTTCAGACTTGTCCCTGGCTCTTCATAGTCCCCACAGAAAGAGCCAAGGTGGTGAGTGGTTTTCCAGAGGGATTCAGAGGCTAAGCTTTGCAGTTATACTGACCAGAGTTCAAATTCAAGTTCTGGCAACCCACTTAGTAACAATATATACTTTTGAAAAGCTCTGACCTTGACTACGCCTTAGTCAATATTGGTAAAATGAGATTTACAATACCTATTGCACAGGGTTATTGAGAGAATTAAGGCTCTTAAGACATACTAGAACTTCACACAGAATCTAGAACCCAAAATAGCCACTCAAAATAGTGGCTATTATTAACAATAGTGGAACTAAGCGGTGAAGCCTGGGCTGATGGGGTTCCCCATCCTCATGAGGGCTCGGAGATGCAGTCCCATGGCACAAACACCAGTTTCCTTGGCGTGTTGCTCAGCCTGATGGGGAGCCAGCAACCTCAGGCTGAGCCTAGTATTCACCTGGCTGGCATTCGTGGGGCGTCTCTTGGGTGCAAGGGACTCGAGGGATCAGGTGTAGGCTCTGCCTTTAGGAGAGGGGACAGGGAGGTGACAGTGTTGGTGAACAGTGTTGGTGAGGTTTCTGGCGGCTTGGCGAGGGGCAGCTAGCCCAAGCTGACGCATCCGTCAGGATTCTTGTCTGCATTGGCTTGTGGGAGAGGGACACAGCCCCTACAAGAGGGGACACAGCTGTGCTTGTAACCCCTGGTTCCCGCATATCCAGGGAACAGCACTGGCTCAGAGCTGGGGGCTCCTTCGGTCTGGGTGGGGGGTGAGGTGGGCAGCGCCGGGGCATGGCAGCTGAGTGTATATGTGACTCTGAGCTGGATCCACCCAGGGGGCACCAACCCAGTCATGCCCAACAGTGCCACCTGTGAGAATCCCCTGGGAGCTGTAACCATCCTGACTGATGCCCAAGGCAGCGTTGTAGTGATGAAATCACAGCATCTGGGACTAGTTTCTGAAGACCCTGAGAGGGCGTCTGCTGTGCTGAGCCATCTGGGAAGCCCTCTGCTGCATGCCTGTAAACAAAGTGTTCTTGGAGTCTAGAGGGTGTAGGAAACTTGATCCGCACCATTTGTCCATTTCTGTAGACACTTCTGGCCTACTAGTGTAACCTCGCTGGGCTGGAGCTGGGGCCAACTGTTCTGCTGGCTCTGGTGAGCTGGTTGGAGCTCCTCTCGCCAGCCTCAGACTGCTCTTCGGGGTAGAGGCACAACTGGACATTGTCCTCAGGAGGACGGCAATCAACCTAACATTCCCCTCCCCTCCCCTCCCCTCTCCTCCCCTCCCCTCCCCTCCCCTCCCCTCCCTTTCCCTTCCTTCCTTTCTTCCTTCCTGTCTGTGAGAGCAGGGGGTTCTGGGACAGCCCAGTGCTGCATGGGATTGTGTAGTTTCAGATCTACGCTGGGTATTCCTGAGTCTCAGTGTGTAGCATTCAGGGTTGAGTTAATGACTTTAGGGACCAGAGGCTCCTTAGACAGAGATGGGAGGCTGGGGTGAAGGAGAACAAGGAGAAGCCAAAAAAAGCAGCTCTGTCAGCCCAAGGGGCCCCCAGCCAGCCCTGGCTGCCAGTTCTTGAGGCTTCCGAGACATAGGACCTCAGCAGTGACCCCAGTGAAGGGCAGAGCTCCACAGTGATGCGGTTGCTCAGGGGAGGAGGGACTGGCAGGAGGCAGGGTCGGAGGGATCCAGACTACACAGATGCACAGGGCAATGTAGAAGGACTTTCTGAGAAAGCAGGGGGCTCCAGCTCCCTTCCCTTTCCCCTTTAGGAGATGGGGTCATGATGTTTGAGAGGCCTCAGAGGCCTGGGTCTGCTGTGAGGACTCGGCTCAGAGCCGCCCTCTCCCACCCCTTCCTGGGCCCTTGCAACTGAGCGAAGGGGAAGAAGATGGGATGGAAGTCAGGAGCCGCCTGCCAGCCAGAGCTGAAGTGGGTGGGGCCGTGGGAGTCCCTGGTGTCACTGGCGGGGCGGGGCAGATGACTGCAAGGTCCAGCCCCCAGCCCAGCTCTTCCTTCAGCAGGTCTGAGCTTGGCCTGGGACTGGGCACCCTCAGGACCCAAGGCTGGACTCTGAGCCTAGACTGCTGACTTTGGTTCTCTTCTTGGTGTGTTCCCACAGGGACTGCTGCTTGGCCCTGCTCTGGGAGGTTTCTTGTCAGGGGACACAGAACAAGTTGCTCTGGCCTTGGGCCCTAGCCTTAGGGGATCTCAGAGGGGAACTCAAGGGAGCACATCTCTGTGAGCCCCAAGAAAGGCTGGTGCTGACAGATGAACAGTTTTCTCCATACCACAGGCCCATGGGTGTTTTTTGAATTCAAGACATTTTGTTTTTATTTTTATTTTATCAGTCATGGGGCTTGAACTCTAGGCCTGGGCACTGTCCCTGAGCCCTTCAGCTCAAGGTGAGTGCTCGACTGCTTGAGCCACAGAGCCACTTCTGGTTTTTGAATTCAGGAGCTGACATTTTCTGAGTGAGGCATTGGCGGCCACTGGGGAGAGGAGAGAAGGGAAAACAAGCAGCGAAATGAAGGCGGCCGCTCAGTCTATTGTGAACCCCCATAGATCAGCAAGGCTGCCTCATTTTATACAATGGTTTCCTTTGTGACCATAGTTTTCCAGGACCAATGGGATTTAGACTTCGTTGAGTCATCTGTATAATCTCTAATTTCTGAACCTTCTCCCATAATTTCTGAATCTCTTGCTGGGGATCCGGTGTGTTAGATACAAGCCTAAAGTGAGACACGTGGCCGGTGGTGTTGATCACACTCGGTGATGGCTGTACTCATCATGTGGATGAGTCTGATGACGACACTGCTCTTACAGCTCTGAAAACCAGGCTGAACACATGGTACATTTTCAGGCCCACAGAAAACGTGTTAGTTAGCCAGAACTCCTTCATCCAGATCTGCTGAATTGTCACCTTGTGTCACCTACATGCATGCTGTCATTTGTTTTCTCAGCCACTTGAGAGGAAGTTGTATACATTGTTCTCCACCATTAGTTTCCGGATGCTTTTTCCTAGAACAATTCTACTCGGACAGTACCACAGCAAAGGTACACATTTGAAGAGTTCAACATTGACGTAGTATTTGAGCCAGGAAGGCAGGCATTTTCCAACTCAGTCAGGTGTCACTGTCGGCTCTCTTTAGCGGCTCTGCCCCTGCAGTCCAGGCCTACACTCCACATTTATTTGTCCAGCTCTAGTTTTCTCAAGCTGGGTTGGCCTCCAGGCCTTTCTCTCTCATGTCACTGGTAGTCTTTGAGAATGGAGGCCTTCTGTTACATCAGCAGCCTCCTCTGGGTCTTCCTGCTGTTTCTGAAGGCTCCCTTGCTGTGTGACAGCATTCTTCCAGGCACGTGGTGTCCATGTGCCCTTTAGTGACATTGATTTTGGTCACCTGTCAAGGTGCTTTTGCCTGTTGCTACTTACAGCTGTTTTCCCTTCCAACTCATTAGCAGACTGTGACGGATATTATGAGATCATATAAGTATCAAGTTCCTCATCAAACTTGACTTGCTGTTCTTTACTATCATGGCTGTAAAATGACGTCTTTCCCTACTGTACAGAAGAGCCCTTCTTCCTCATTTACCCACTCACACACCTCATAAACCTCCACCGCTCCATTTACCCACCCATCGTACCCCCATCCTTCCGCACACCTAACCTTCCACTCACCTAGCTAATACTACTACCATCAGTGTGGAGTCAGAGCCTGTTTTACTTAGTAGGTTATAATCTACTGTCCTTACATCATTTGATGCTCAAGTTGCCCCAGATTTGGTCAATGAGAGCCCCTTCAAGCTGACTGTAGAAATGGTACCTATGTGAAAGATTTGAACTTAAGTTGAGGAGTAAATAGGTAGCTCTAGATATTCAGACAAAAATCCAGATTTTAGGACTAGTGAGGAACTAGGAGGTGGGAAAGTGGTTTGGCTGGACAGTCTGGGGATGTGATTTCTGTGTTCTCACCCCAGAATTTCTGGTGGCTGGGCCTCTGGGTCAGGGGCACTGTTAGCACATCCAGGAGGGCTGACCTGCTTGAGTAGGGAAAGTGTTGTACAGGTTGCTGAGTAGCTGCCAGCCATGCCTGGCTGGTGGAGAGAGGGAGCATGGGAAAATCACGGGTCTCTCAGCTCACACAGCAGAAGTATCACCTTTATTCTCTCTCACTATAGGTTGGCTCCCATCATCTGAGACTCCAGAGAGGCCTGGAGGCCAACGCCCCTGCTTTCGACAGGTAGGGATGGTCAGATACCACTTGAGGCCTGCATATGCGCACTCCATTCAGACATTGGCACTAGGGAAGCAGGAATCAACCCTGAATTCAAATCTTTGGATTTGTGTATTTTGGTCCTTTATGCAAGAAAAGAGTTATAAAAGGGCTTTTCATTTGTCAGGTTTCCCTGAAGATTTCTGTGTTCAGAGAGCAGCTCTTTATCTGTTCCTTGTTTGTTCTTTTTTTTTTTCCCCCCCGCTCATGGGGCCTGAACTCTGGGCCTGGGCTCTGTCTCTCAGCTCTTCAGTTCAAGGCTAGCGCTCTAACACTTGAGCCACAGTGCTACTTCCGGCTGTTTCTGCTTATGTGGTGCTGAGGAATCGAACCCAGGGCCTCATACGTGCAAGGCAAGCACTCTACCACTGAGCCACCTTCCCAGCCCCTTATCTGTTTCTTGTTACAGTAAGATTTCATCTATCCATTCTGATTAATTAAGGGTTATTTAAATTACAGGATACTAGTAGATGCTTATTTATGTGTTTATTTTTGTTTGGACTCAAGACCTTGCACCTACTCCTTGGCTTTTTCACCATTTGGCTGGTACTCTGCCACTTGAGCCACACCTCCTATTTTCCAGCTTTTTCCTGGTTAATTGGAGATAGATCTTGGGGACTTTTCTGGTTGGGGCTGGCTTCGAGCCTTAGTTCTTGGATCTCAGCCATCTAAGTAGCTATATATAGGTGTGAACCACCAGCAACCGGCCTTGTTTTTGTTTTAGCATAAAACATTCCTAGGTTTTAAAGATTATAGAGAGATGTGAAGTGTAAGAACACTAACTCCTAAACCCCACACTCTTAAGAGATTTCATTGCTAACAGGTTTTTGTTTCCCCTTTCTACTGAGGCTTGAACTCAGGGCCTTGTGCTCTCCCTTGGATTTTTTGCTCAAGGATGAGCCATTGCTAACCTGAACTGGTTGTAAAAAAAAAAAAAAATCTATGCCCCTAATTGTTAATAGCTTCTTAAGTGATTTTTTCTTTTAATCTAAATCGGTGGTTCACTGGTGTAGTTTATGACTTTGTTGTGAGCTCATCTGTCTTGGAGCATTCTTTCTGGGAAGTTTCTGAGTAACTTTAAACGACTCAAGATGAAGTAGGACCGGATTGTAAGCTCATGTGAGGGCTCATTTATTCTCACGCATTATCAGAGGGAATTCTCTAGCTTCTGTTAGCACTAAGTGTGAAATAGCTGCTTATCTTTATAGCTTCCTAAGGGCCATTTCTTGTTTTTACACCAAGTGTTCCAAGTGTTTAACCTTTTGGATTTCCTACTTAGGTGGGGATGGTCTCCTTGTAGACGCCTCAGGTGGGCGATGAACTTCCTTGTCTTCTTTATGTGTACCATGAGAACTGATGCTCAGTTTACCTAATTCACCAGATGTCCTTAATGTTAAAGCCAACGTAGTATTCCTTACCCTTTGACTTGATCTTCCCAAATACTCTACAAATTCACTAGTTATTGACGTGATTAAAATACAACAATAAACTAGGAACATAGAAACATGTCATTGTGGAAATTTCAAAAAGAGAAAAATGTTTAAAGAAGAAAATATTGAGAAATCATCTACTATGCCTAGTACATTTCCTTCCAACTTTCCACATTAAGCACAAATATGGATAGCCATTCCACTAAGTTATAATTCCATATCTGCTTTTTGCATTGTATCCTTTTGCTGCTATTTTTTTTGGTCTGTGTTGGGCTTGAACTCTGCTCCTGGGCGCTGTCCCTCAGCTCTTTAGCTCAAGGTGAGCGCTCTGTTGCTTGAGCCACAGCGGCACTTTTGGTTTTTTGGTGGTTTATTGGAGATAAGAGTCTCATAGGCTTTCCTGCCCAGGCTGGCTTTGAACTATGGTCCTCAGATCTCAGTCTCCTGAGTAGCTAGAATTACAGATGTGAGCCACCGATGCCCGGCGGTGGTGTTGGTGGTATTCTTGATTCCTTTTTTTTTGTCTTGTCCATTGTGGGGCTTGAACTCTGGGCCTAGGCATTGTCTCTCAGCTCTTCAGTTCAAGGCTAGCACGCTACCACTTGGGCCACAGCGGCACTTTTGGTTTTTTGGTGGTTTATTGGAGATAAGAGTCTCATGGACTTTCCTGCCCGTGCTCGCTCTGAACCTCGATCCTCAGATCTCAGCCTCCTGAGTAGCTAGGATTACAGGTGTGAGACACCGCACCTGGCCTCCTTTTGCTATTCTTTAAAGCACCACAGTCAAACATTTCTCACAGAATCCGAAAGGTTACCTTTAGCAAGCTGGGGACAAGGCTCTGCTTATTTGCACGTAGTCTCTGATGCAGAACTGTTTCCCCAGAGGCCGCAGGCTTTGCTGTGCTTTCTCGTTTGGGTTCTATGTAATGAAATGTAGCATGTGGAAGGACAGCTAAATGATGGGGGGAGGCTCTCGCCTGTAATCCTGGCTACTCAAGAGGCTGAGATCTGAGGATCACGGTTTAAAGCCAGCCCGGGCAGGAAAGTCCATGAGACTCTTCTCTCCAATAAACCACTCAAAAAATGGGAAGTGCACTGTGGCCCAAATGGTAGAGTGCTAGCCTTGAGCTGAAGAGCTGAGGGACAGCATCTAGGACGACAGTTCAAGCCCCATGACTGGAAAAAGAAAAAGAAAAACCAGCACAGCCTTTATGCTGTGCATTATTCCTGGAGCCATTCATGCAAACGGCCTGGACAGGACCTGGCCCTGTCCTGGGATTGCCATGTGCAGAGGTGGTGGCTGGGAGGAGGGTGTGTCTTCTCCGCACACACTCTGGGCCAAGGACTTGGTGGGTCCGGCACTTCTGGCACTGAGAAAGGTCCGCCCTTCTGCACATGCCCCTGGGCCCCGTGGTGTCGCTGTGGGGTCACCATTGTCGTGCTGCTGTTGCAGGCACATGGTTCTTCTGAAGGAGCAGTACGGGAAGCAGGTGGTGGTGAACTTGCTGGGAAGCCGAGACGGGGAGGAGGTTCTCAACAGAGCGTTCAAGGTAACGCGTCCCCCACCTCTTCTCCCTTCTCCACAGCTGGGTGTTGATGGGACGGGGGACGGAGGGGACCCTGTGCAGGTGGAGCCCTGAGGCGCAGAGGCAACTCCTGTGGACAGAAGACAGCAGAAGACCACCCTGGGCTGGCTTAGGTCTGTCTGCCCTCCAGCCTCCTTCAGCCAGTGATCGCGGCAACTCCAGGGGACAAGTTGAATTTTGATGAGCTGCAGGATGGGAAACTTCACTCAAAGTAAAAGCTGTGCTTCCCCAGGCTCCTGTGGGCGGGGAAGCCTTCCTGCTTTCTTGAGTTGCTTTAGTGCAGTAGAGAGAAAGGGCCAGCCCCGCACCCCCCCAGGCCTTCCCACAGAAGAACCATAGGGTGTTTGTACTGATTGCTCTTCAGAGCCGTGCTTGGTTGAAAGAAGGACACAGGTGAACCTCTTGCTCCCTGGGCAGCCTTCAAGACTCTGGTACTGTGTGCCAGCTCCTAGTAGGCTCTTCCACCTCTTAGCTGCCCAGAGCCAAGAGCCCAGGTCCCTGATAGGGAAGCGTTGCAGTTGAGTCCAACCTGTGAGCAATCAGTCTGTCATGGAAGATTCTGGAATGAGTGTCATTGGCCTCCTTGTTGCTTGCCGAGGTTCCTGTGGGCCTCTGGTTAGTAGAAGCTGGAGGAAGCCCCTTATAGAGAGAACCTAAAGCTACCTCAGCCTAAGGTCAGGCCAGTCTAAGGCTGATGTGTGCAGCCTCCACTTCCACATGACCCCTGACCTCTGACCCCCTCACTGAAGGAAGCCTAGTTCAGCCAGAGCACTTGTTTTACTCTGTAGAAAAGTCACATGCAGCCGGGCGCTGGTGGCTCACGCCTGTAATCCTAGCAACTCAGGAGGCTGAGATCTGAGGGTCGCGGTTCAAAGCCAGCCCGGGCAGGAGAGACCATGAGACTCCTATCTCCAATAAACCACCAGAAAACCGGAAGTGGCGCTGTAGCTCAAGTGGTAGAGCGCTCGCCTTGAGCTAAAGAACTGAGGGACAGCGCCCAGGCCCAGAGTTCAAGCCCCACGACCGACAAAAAAAAAGTCACATGCTTGAAACAGGGACTTTCTGGTTGCTACTTTTATTTGGCCAAATCTGCCTTTCCTGTTTGGTTTGTTGCCATGAGCAACAAGCTCAAGAAATCTCTCCTCCTACTCATCTTGGCAGTGATGCTGGCTGCTTATTTTAAGGAAGAAGTAAGGGGAAAGGAAAATTCCCAACAACCAAAAAAATGTGCCCTTCCCTTTTCTGCCTGAGTTCTGGAGAAGGGCCGTGCTTGGCCTTCCCCAGGGCTGGTGGCCCTGCCTCTGGCTTGGGAGTCAAGGCTTCTTTTCTACCCAGATGGCAGGAGTCAGTCCAGTGGGGAGCACAGGTCCTGGGGCAGGTCACAAAAGAGGTGCATTCTGGCAGGACCCCTGGGGCGTGGCTCTGACTAGGAAGTCGCTCAACCAGGCTGAGGCCAGTATTGGCAACCTGCCTGAATCCTGGCGGTCATCAGATCACAGCAGAACAGGGGCTGGCTCCAGGGTAACTCTAAACCACCAGTCACACGGCTGAGTTTGCAGGCGACTCCATCCATAAAATCTTTCTTGAAGATGGCAGTGTGTGTCCATTTATATTCTGACTACCCATGGTAATCAAGTCCTGGTCTGTTGGTCCTCAGCACCTCTGGCTCTGCAGATGTGTGGCTTGGTCTTACCCCGTCCGCCATGTAGCTGTAGAGAGGCCTAGAGGTGGGCAGCCTGGGATGTCCACTCTGTCCTTGACCCTGGGGAGCAGGCAGAAGAGTTTCTGAGCTAGGAAGCTTCATGTGGAAGGGCCTTGTGTCTGAGAAGAACATCCTGGGCTACCAGCAGCCCCAGACTCTGCTTCTTCCCTTTCCCCACCTTCCCTCTGACTCCAGGGTCGCCGCCCTGTCTCTGGTCACCCACATTCTGAGGTGTCACCGTTCTGTATACCCCAGTGGCTGCCTCAGCCAGCACCAGGGCCACCGCAGAGGCCCCCATTCCTGGTGCTGGTGTCTGTCAGGATGGGGCTGGTTACCAAGGCAACGGGAGCTGGATTGTGAGCTCTGTAGCCTGCCACATGCTGCTGTCTTTGAGGGCTGGGGCACTTGGGCCGTCTGAAGAACAGGGCAACCCTTCCCTTGCCTGTGCCTCGCAGAGCCCTGCAGGGTGGGATGTCCCCAGGGTGCCACCCCTGCTCTGGGCTCTTTTTGCCCAAGGGGGGCCTTCTGCCTTTGTGCAGGCAAGATTTTCTTAGCTTCTGTCTTCCTAGGGCCTTTGTCCTGTACTTCCGTTTCAAGGTCAGGCTGGTCCATGGCCTGGTCGTCTGTGAGCCTCCTAGCTGATCTGAGCACACTAATGGGCAACTGTGGTTGGCTGCAGAACGAGCTGCCAAAGGAAGTGTGCCGTCACCATCCTGCTGCTGCCCCTGTGCCCTTACACCTTCCTCTTTCCCTTTGCAGAAGTTGCTCTGGGCTTCTTGCCACGCCAGCGACACGCCTATGATCAATTTTGACTTCCATCAGCTTGCCAAAGGTGGGAAGCTAGAGAAATTGGAGAACCTGTTGAAGCCTCAGTTAAAGCTACACTGGGATGACTTTGACGTGTTTGCCAAGGGCGAGAATGTAAGTCCACGGTGAGTCTGGTCTGAGCTTGGTCTTCCTGCTGGATGAGGGGCTCAGGGGCTGTAACCCACAGGGCAGTGCTCCTCAGGGCTTGCCTGCCCTTCTGGATCATAAGCAGGGTGATTCTGGGCCTCTGTGGTTCTAGTTTGCTCCTCTCCTTTCCTGCTGAAATGAGCTTGTGAATTCTGTGAGTAGGTGGCAAAGCCTAGTACGCGGGATAAAGAAGCACCCTAATAGAAGAGACAGGGTTAAAACCTAGGGCTGAGATGACCACAGTACGACAGGACTTGTCGTGATCACGTGAGGAGAGCTGGGGCAAACCACGGTGCCAGGGAGGCTGCGCTGTGGTGACTTGTCCAGGGCCCAGAGGAAAACGGGTTTACTCAGCGTGCAGTCAGTCAATCCTCCTCACGTGTAGACTCCACACTAGTGGATTCATCTATTCAGTTCAGCTCATTGGTAACCTCAGAATCTCGTCATAGCCCTCTCATGTTCACTCACAGACCTGCAGAGCAGTGGAACATGTGCCTTCTCTCAAGGGCCCGTGTGTTCTCGTTTGCTGTCTAATTGCATGGTTCACTTCTTTCTGTGCTTTTCTTGGTAACTTCACTGTTTAAAAGGGCTCCAAGCCCAGCATGAAGGTGCGGCTTGACATCTCTAAGCCTTAGAAGGCGGTGATGTGCCTTCCATAGGACACACTTAGATAAGCTTCCTTCAGGCCTGAGTTGTAGTGTCTTTGGCTGGGAGTTCAGTGTGGATGAAGCAGCAGTCTGCTGGAGCCCTTCAGCTTTCAGTGCATTCATATAAGTCATGTCCCAATAAGCTCACTGTAGGTTGAAAACATCCTAAGTCAAAGGTGTGTTTAGTACTCCAATTAACCATCAAGAACCACCCTAAGGGGCTAGCTACATGTGTTTACACAGAAACCATGAGCAAGTTGAGGGCAGTGTTGTGGCCAGAGGCTCACAGGTACCTAACGACTCTTTTTCCCAGGAGCAAGGAAGGCAGCATTTGGTAATTGAATGTTCTCATTCAATTCTCATTCACTGTGGGTAGCAGAGCTGCCCTTCCTTGCCCGAGAGCCAGGGCTAGGTCTACAGAGAGTGCATTCTGGGGTCTGTAGGGCATTTCTGCAGGGAGGAGCCCAGGGGTTCTCTCCTGAACAAGATTCCATAGAAGTTGACAGACTAGAGCCATGGACTATGTGTCCCTGAATTGATTCCATTTTTTTCTTGTGGTCCTTAAGTTTTCAGAAAGGCACTCTGCGGATGAACTGTCTTGACTGCCTGAACCGAACCAACGCTGTTCAGAGTTTCATCGCACTCGAGGTCCGTCTCCTGATCATCTGCATTGTGTCTCACACCCTCAGTGGGCCAGGCTGGGCCTGCCTAACATGCCTTCAGCTTCACTGGTTGGCTTTCCAGTGATGGGGCCGGTGACAGGGATGCGCTGGGGCCTCTGGACAGGTTCTCTGAGAGGTGGCTTGCCTGGGCCTCCGTGTGTGTCTCCCTGTCATAGGCTTGCTTATTCACACACTCATGGAATGCATCCCAGCCTTAGCTTCCCAAAGGCACCAGGCACCCTTGAGAAAGAGCGTATCTGTGTAGTGATTGTCATGAATACTGCTGGGCCGGGCCAGAGGGAGGCTGGCTCTGAAGCCAGAGGCAGCATGCCTGAGTCTGTTGGTGTAGCCCAGCTGCCTGGCTGACTTCTCCATTCCATCTTGGAGGGAGGGAACTGGGGTCACTTCCTGCTGCCCCCCTCAGTGCTTGCTATCTACTATCAGTGATAGTGGGTGGTCAGGCATCAGAAAGAAGGCTGGGAAGTTGGATCAAGGAGCCACTCTGTCCTGCTCATATCTCAGGGTAGCACAGGGTCTGCAGTGTGCTGGATATAGCACCCACTAGGAGGCCCCTGTGAGCATTCCCTGTAGGCAGCCCAATGCAGCTGTCTCCTCTGTCTCCCTCAGGTCCTTCACCTCCAGCTCGAGAGCCTGGGGCTGAACTCAAAACCCATTGTTGACCGCTTTGTGGAGTCCTTCAAAGCCATGTGGTCTCTGAATGGGCATAGCCTGAGCAAGGTGTTCACAGGCAGCAGGGCCCTGGAAGGGAAGGCCAAGGTAGGAGCGGGGCGAGGGGGCAGGGAGGGTAGCCTCACGGGTCCCTCTCACACCTGTGCTTGGTCTCCTGCAGGTGGGGAAGCTGAAAGATGGGGCCCGGTCCATGTCTCGTACCATCCAGTCCAACTTCTTCGATGGGGTGAAGCAGGAAGCCATCAAGCTGCTGCTGGTTGGCGACGTCCACAATGAGGAATCAACAGACAAAGGCAGGATGCTTCTGGACAACACTGCCCTCCTGGGTAATGAGTTCTGCCCTGCTTGCATGAGGGTGTCTCTGGTCTACTTTGGGGGCGCAGGTGGTGGTAGAGGCTGAGGTTAACTATCCCCAGGACCCTACCAGGAAATCCAAGATGGCGGGTGGAAGATAGGTAAGAGATTTTGATCTGTCTTTGGTCTAAGTGGTGGGCTGACGCAGCTTTTAATTGATACTGTGCAGTTCTTCCTCACTATTGGGAAGGCATTGTTGTTAGGATCCCTGCAGAGACCAAAATCCAAAGATCCTCGAGTCCGTAATGAAAATGGCACCATCTTTGCAAATAACATCTACCCGTACTCTTATGTACTTTGTCATCTCTAGATACTTGACCCATCTAGTGCTATGGAAATCATTTTTCTACTATATTGTTTAGAGGAAACTATAAGATAAAGTCTCTGTACATGTTTAGTACAGCTGTAATTTTTTTGCCAAGTAATTCCAATCTGTGGTTGAATGGATAGGTACACTGCAGGTGGCTGTTTCTCGGGAGCTGGCCCTTCTGGACTCCCCTATTTTTTGGAGTGCCTGTGGAGAGGAAGGAAGGAAGGGGCAGGACTATGAAGGAGTCTGCACTGTGTCTGTGTCTTTGAAGCTAACTCATTTCAGAAATGTCCTTGGAGACCTGGGCTCCCTGTCTCCCTGATAGGTGTCTTGTGACCCAGGGAGCTTCTGGAGGGAGGGGGAGCCTGCAGTCCTTTGTTGGCCCCTGAGGACATTTCCTGGGGGAAGTACGTGGGACAAGGCATGTCCAGTGTCAGGAAGGCTATTAAGAGCCCATCAGTGCTAGAGGATTTTTTTGGGAAAATTTTAATAAAAGCTTATTCCCTAGAGCATGTGGCCTTCATAAGTAAAGGAAAAGAAGGGGAGACTGGCATTTTTACAAGAATGAGACAATTTTAGACTTTTTGGGGTATGTTTGAGAGAGAAATTAGCCCATGTTTACAATGGCTCCATTCTTTTTCTCTCTCATTCTTCCATATATTGAGGTTGCTTTCGGGCCTCTGATAGCCAAGGTGAAATTAACTTCTGCTCTGGGAATAGTTCTAGCTCAGAAAAGCTGAGCAAGCTCCAGATTCCATAGTGAGGCTTATTTAGTGGCAAAGCAGAGGAGATTTGGGTCAAGTCTCTAGATTAAAACATTGGAAGCCGGGTGCTGGTAGCTCACACCTGTAATCCTAGCTATTCAGGAGACTGAGATCTGAAGATAACTGTTCAAAGCCAGCCTGGGCAGGAAATTCAGTGAGACTCTTATCTCCAATAAACTACCAGAAAACTGGAAGTGGCACTGTGGCTCAAGTGGTAGAGCACTTGCCTTGAGCTGAAGAGCTGAGGGACAGTGCCCAGGCCCAGAGTTCAAGCCCCACAATCAACCAAAAACAACAACAACAACAACAAAAGGATGTATTTTGGTTAAGAGGGTAGCTGGTGATGGTTATTCTTTCTTTTTTTTTTTTTTTGTCGTTGTGGGGCTTGAACTCTGGTCCTGGGCACTGTCCCTTAGCTCTTCAGCTCAAGGTGAGCTCTCTACCACTTGAGCCACAGCGCCACTTCTGGTTTTCTGAGTGATTTTTTGGAGATAAGAGTCTCACAGACTTTCCTGCCCAGGCTGGCTTTGAACTGAGCCTCAGATCTCAGCCTCCTGAGTAGCTAGGATTACAGGCATGAGCCATCAGTGCCCACTTAGATTCATTTGTTAATGCTTTAAGTCTGAAGGCAAATAAATAAGCAAAACAGACCCTTTCAGGTATACAGGATGGAAGTAGAAAATGCAAAGCTGGGGCTTTGGGTTGATGAGGCACTTAGGGTTATCTGTAATATATTACAAATTATAACATTTCATTTATACAACATACACATAGCACATTATTTATATTGTCCACCGAAGTGTCCTCTTGCTTGCTTTCATTCCTCTGCTATGTTCTGTGGGATCATGGCGAGAATGCACAGGGACTTTCTCCCTCTGTGTCTGTGAGATTTCTTGTGATCTGATCCTCACATGACTTCTATGAGTAATGGCATGCAGGGTGTATTTCTGGTCCTGTGTTTTTGTACGTTGATGGGAGGTGGTGTGGTTAGTGTCATCTTTCTATGTTGTGGTCCACATCTGCAGGGCTGTGAGCCGTCTCTGGCAGGCCACCCTCCTGTGCTTTGGGAGGTGCCTGGCTCTGGGCTGGAGAGGGACTTGCCTCTTTATGCCTCCTGACAGTGACTCCCAGGATCCTGAAAGCCATGACCGAGCGCCAGTCAGAATTCACAAATTTTAAGCGGGTTCAAATCGCCGTGGGGACCTGGAACGTGAACGGAGGGAAGCAGTTCCGGAGCAACCTCCTGGGGACGGCGGAGCTCGCAGACTGGCTGTTGGACGCTCCCCAGCTCTTGGGAGCTGTGGACTCTCAGGGTGAGGGCAGTCACGTCACACAGGTGAAGACAAGACATCTGACGTTTTGTCAAACCTGCAGCAGCAGGTTGACCGCCTCAGTAGCACCTCTTCCTGTAACATTGGCGTTTACATGCCTCAAAGTGTTTAAAACGGTGGGCTAACCTTCTGGAATGCTACCTAGCAAATTAACTCTGACTCGTTTCCAAATATTTGGAAGGATTATCAGAATGACACTCTTTTTTTGTGGGGGGTGGGGGGGTTAGTATTAGGGCTTGAACTCAAGGCTTTGCACTCTTTTGCTCAAGTCTGGCCTTAACATTTGATCTATAACTATACTTCTACCCTTTTTCTAGTTAATTAGAGATAAGAGTCTCTGGGATTTATCTGCCTGGGTTGGCTTTGAACTGTGATCCTCAGATCTCAGACTGCTGAGTAGCCACTAGCACTCAGCTTTTCTTTCCTTCACAGGCAGAGATTTTTGCAGTTTAGCTTTGGGTCATTGGAATCCGATTGTCATCAGGAATGACAACCTAAATGCCAAGCTGCTGTCTGGAGCTGCGGAGCCAGGCTTGCAATTAAAGTTGGTCCTGTCCAGGCCAGCTACACATTGTGCTTCCCTAATCTGGTACTCTGAAATCCACAGTGCACCCACATTCCTGACCTTGTATGACAGGTCTCAGTCAACATTCAGGTGCATGGAAAATGCTATATAATACCTCCTTTGGGTAGGTTTATAAACAAGTGAATTTCATGTTTAGGCCTAAGCTCCATCCCCAAAGAATCACATCAGATCTGAAATCTGGTCCTGGCACCAAGTGGTGCACTTAGAAGAGGGCAACACAGACCCTGTGAACCAGTAGTGCAGGACATGGAGGTTCTGATTTCCTGCATCTCTTGCTTTACCCGCCAGATGACAGCACCCCAGCCGATGTATTTGCTGTGGGGTTTGAAGAGATGGTCGAGCTGAGTGCTGGGAATATCGTCAATGCCAGGTAAGGGCCAAGAGCCTGCCTGGGGAACAGGGCCCCAAAGTCTGCTCACAGCTGCTCTGGTCTAGCGGCCTGCGGCCCTGGTGCCGTGTGCACTTCTGGCTGTTCTCCTTCTCCACACTCACCATGTGCTGCCCTATTCCCCTCTGCCCGCCAGTGAAGGAAATGGATGGAAGGTCTGGTTATCACTGTGTCTGTGGGGAGCCTGGGCCATGGGGTGCAGGGAGCTGGCATGTGTGAACTGGGATCCCAGGGCGGGCAGGGCTGGGGGGCAGGAAGAGAGGGCTGATTCACATTTCCTGGGGAGAGACGAGAAAGCATGAGTGTGTCTCTTGATACCAGGCAGGAAGGAGAGAGCCAGACCGTCAGGTTAACTGGCACAAAACCAACCAGACATTCCCTCCAAGCTTCTCTAGTTTTATTTCAAGGAACTTTTTTTACACATAAATAAAATTGCCTCTATGGAGCTCTTATGAGCAGATCCTAGCTAGGTGTCAGGGGTGAGGAGAGACTGCTGAGAGGTGTGAGGCACCACGGGAAACATCAGCTAGTTCACGAGAGGGATCACGGCACAGTAGTCACATTGGGTACAGAATCACTTTTATTTAAAAAAAAAAATAGCAATTGCCAGGTGCCAGCGGCTCACTCCTGTAATCCTAGCTATTCAGGAGGCTGAGATCTGAGGATTGTAGATCAAAGCCAGCCCAGGCAGGGAAGTCCATGAAACTATCTCCAAGTAACCAGTTAAAAAAAAGAAATGGGGCTTTGGCTCAAGTGGTAGAGCACCAATCTTGAGGGAAAAAAAGGCTAAAAGGATATAGTACCTGGCCCTGAGTTCAAGCCTCAGTACCAGGACCAAAATTAAAAAAAAAAAAAAAATAGGGCCAGAAGGGTTAGTCAGTGGGAGGCGGCCTTCCTGCTAACCTCTTGCCCTTCTCCTACCCTTCCTTGTCCAGCGCCACCAACAGAAAGGTGTGGGGTGAGCAGCTTCAGAAAGCCATCTCACGCTCCCACAGGTACACTCTCCTGGCTTCGGCACAGCTGGTGGGCGTCTGTCTTTATATCTTTGTGCGTCCATACCATGTCCCATTCATCAGGTAAGAACATTTAGTTTATAAACGTCTGGGGAAGGAGGGGGTGTGAGTCTTTGTATTTTGTTCTATGACTTCTCTCCCCTCCACCCTGCGAGCCCCCGCTTTCCCCGGGAATCCTGCTGCCAGGGTCAGGTCCTGCCATTATTCTAGGTGATAGAGCAAATCTCCCAAGGAAAACAGGGCTGAATAGGATATTGTCTGGCAATAAAAAAGCCAAGACAGAGAACCCCTAACTCAGGAAGCTGACCTTCCCTAGGCAGAGACAATCTTGATGGTTATCAAGATTATCACCAAACCTGAGTCTTGGGCAAGGAAGGGCTTTCTTGGAGTTTTACAGACAGGAAACCACTGAGCAAGAGCTGAGTAACTGGGCAGGAAATGTCAATTCTATCAAAGAAGTCGGATCAACCATGGGGAGGGGTGAGGCAGAGAATCGGGGGATTTCCCTGAGGTGGTCTGAGGTCTCCCTGTTGTGCATGCATGTACATGCATTCTCTCTCTCTCTCTCTCTCTCTCTCTCTCTCTCTTTCCCCCCCTCCTTCCCTCCCTCCCTGCTGTCCCTGCCTTGTTTAGCTTAGCTCACAACCCTTTGACATGTTGTCACCTTACCTTGTCTACCAGGCAGGAGGTCTGTGGCCTGGTTCTGGAAACATTAAGTACTTGGGTATAGGGTCACATGCACTCATGTGTATTCAGGTATGCATTTGCATACAAGCCCAAACAGTGTGCATTAGCAGTAGTACTCACTGGACACTTTGTGGAAAATGAACTATACAACTTGTGTCTGGGGTTGGGAGGGAAGAACTGGGAGAGAGTAAGGGAAGGGGTGATGCTGTCCAAAAAGAAATGTATTCTTTATCTGACTTAGGGAACTGTAACCCCTCTGTACTTCACCTTTAAATAACAACAACAACACAAAGAAGTGTGCATTGCAGGAAAGTCAGCTTGAGACCACCTCTCGGACCAACCCAAATAGCTGCCTCCGAGCTCTCAAAACATGTGGCTGGCTGGATGGCCCCTGCCATCCGTCCAGGAGCACTGGATGGGGCGGGCTGGGCCACAGGCTTGTGACTGCTAGGGCAGACATAGCGGCAGTGTGTGCAGCTTCATGGGGTACTTGAAAATCCTTCCCAGGGAGGGAGGCCCTGGTGAAGAGCACTGTGCACCCCCATGAGGCAGCACTTAGCAGCGAGAGGAAGCAGCCTCCTGGCCAGGCAGACAACAATAGCTATGCTGGTCACCGTGATGCTGGCTGCAGAGGATGAGACTGAGCAGGCTCTGGGCCCAGGGCTCAGCGCAGCGGCCTGGTGCTGCTGCTGGCCTCTCTGTGGCAGGATGGTTTGCACTGGTCTGTGGCCAACGGAAGGTTCATGTTCTTCTGTTGCAGGGACGTGGCCATAGACACAGTGAAGACTGGCATGGGGGGAAAGGCTGGGAACAAGGGCGCCGTGGGCATCCGCTTCCAGTTCCACAGCAGCAGCTTCTGCTTCATCTGTAGCCATCTGACGGCCGGGCAGTCGCAAGTGAAGGAGAGGAATGAAGACTACCGGGAGATCACGCACAAGCTCTCCTTCCCTGCAGTGAGTGGGGCCTCCCGGCACTCTTCTGCCATCAGGAGCAAGATTCGAGAACCATAACCACAGGGAGGGTCCCTGTCACCAGGGGCTCCGGGGCTGGGGGAGGGGAGGCATGGCGGCATACCTGGGGACTCCAGGGGTGCACAGAGCCCAGCTCTCCCATGTTCTGGCCTCTCCTATTCTCCCTTCTTGGAGGTTCTTAGGTGCCCCTGCCTTGCTTAGGTACATTTCCCTGGTTTTCTAATTCACATGATAGAATGGGGAGCGAAATAAGTATGTCTGTGTCTGGCTCAAGTTTGTGAAGAACATTTACATCCAAGCACTATAAGATTTCATTTTCTTGGAGGAGGGATATAGACTTAGTATTTGGGAATGTACAGTCTTCACACATACCTCTGTTGCTCAGCTAAGAACTTTTCCTTTCACATCAGCCAATCATGACTAAGAGCCTGCATTTCCTGTCGCCACTACCACTGGCTGCAATGCAGGCCAGACTGCCCTCTAGTGGCAGCCCAGAGGTTTCCATGTTGAAGCCAATAGACTGTATTTTCACATTTAGATTTTAACGTCCTCCTCATGCAAAGAGGATGCTCTGGTCACATTCAGCCTGGGATGGATGGCCAGGTCCCATCTCTTCCCTAAAGGGAGGTCATACATCTCCTGTCCTGGCCACAGTCTTCTGACCTCAGAGGAAGGCTAGCTGGGCCCTGGACACCAGCGTCTTAGATGATGGATCTGTTCTGTTCCCTGTGGGAACAAAGTCTGTGGACTGGGCTACCAAGTCTGCAAGGCAAAAACAAAAACAGCCAGACGCCGGTGGCTCACGCCTGTCATCCTAGCTACTCAGGAGGCTGAGATCTGAGGATCATGTTTCAAAGCCAGCAGGAAAGTCCGTGAGACTCTTATTTCCAATAAACCATCAGAAAACCGGAAGCTGAGCTGAGCTGAGGGACAGTATCCAAGCCCAGAGTTTAAGCCCCACGACCGACATAGAAACCCCCAAAACCTCTTTAGTTTTTCATGACAAGTCCTGATCCTTTCTTCTATTTCTTGAGTTAAAAGAATAAACAAGAAAAGGAACCTGAAAATTTTAAATTCCTGTGTAGTTAAAAACAAAATCTAACTCTTTTGGTCAAAAAGTACTACATTGAAATGTTATACTTGGAATACACCCCTAAATAATTAAAAAATTTATAATATGCCCCCCAAATAACAAAAGCATTGAGGATATCTCTGTTAATTCTCTATTCTGCTGATGTCCAGTGCAAGGGGAAATGGGGGAATATCACATAGTGGGGAGACAAATGAATTTTGGAGCTGGGTTCAGATCTCTCTCTCTCTGTCTCTCTCTCTCTGTCTCTCTGTCTCTGTCTCTGTCTCTCTCTATCTCTGTCTCTCTTTCCCTCTCCCCTTCTCCCCCCTGCCTCGCCATCTGTGCCATCTGTGCCAGTATTGAGGCTTGAACTCATGGCCTGGGGAAAGCTGTCCCTTAGCTTTTTGGCTCAAGGCTGACACTAGAGTGTCACTTGAGCTACACCTCCATTAGGGATTTGGGTGATTAATTGGAGATGCAGTCTCATGAACTTTCCTGCCCAGGCTGACTTTGAACCTCAACCTTCAGCCTTAGCTTCCTGAATAGCTAAGATTTTAGCCAGGAGCCGCTGGCAGCTGCTATCATTGGAATCAGGGAAGCGCTCCCCAGATCTGAGCTCTGGGCAGCCAGGCTGGGTTGGGAGGAGGCCATCACAGGGCATAAGCTCAGGGAAGTCTCAGTATTATGAGCGTTTTCCCACCTGGCTTTCCTAACACAGAACACTTCAGTATCTGGTGCCTACATCTTGGGATGTAGCTAAGAAACAGAGCCCCGCCTGGTTGTTAGGGTAGGGATTGTGTCGGAAATGGCAGACTAAATGTCAGTAGTTATACTTCCCATTAGAGTTAGAGTGCTGTGTCCAAACTATTCAGGAACCATTATTTAAGCGAGACATAATGGAAAGCCTAAAAGAAGCAGCTTAAGAAAGACACTGTTTGTCCTCTCCCCTCCCATCTGCCAAACTCCATGGGCTGGAATGACTGTGGTTTTCTTTGCAACTTAGGGGAGAAACATTTTTTCTCATGATTACGTGTTTTGGTGTGGTGATTTCAACTATCGCATAGATCTTACTTATGAAGAAGTCTTCTATTTTGTTAAACGCCAAGACTGGAAGAAACTTCTGGAATTTGATCAGCTACAGCTACAGAAATCAAGTGGAAAAGTAAGTTGTGCTTGCTCTGATGTGGGATGAATATGGAATATAGTTCCGATATGGAATGATTTCTCCTGTGTTTACGAGTGTTCACCAAATTTTCACAAGTGGATTGATGTTTCTGATACTGTAGAAAACTGGAGGACTTCTAAAGTTAGGGAAACAACAGTGTACACACACACCACACGCACACGCGCACTCCCCCCCCCAAACAGCAAACAGCAGTGTGTACACACACACCCCCCCGTCCTATTGGCTAACCATATATGGAGTTCATGTGTCTTCTCTGGGCTGGATCAGCCATCAGGGTAGAGGATCACCTGAGAGCATTCAACCCAGCAGGGGGAGCCAAGAGCACCCCAGAACTTGTGTCTTTCCCTTTATGCCTTTGGACACCCTGACTCCGCTGGGTCCACTGGTAAAAGGCTGTTCTGCATTAGGCTCAGAGCTGCCTGCGGGTGGTGGGGATTTTGGTGTCAGATGAGGGGTGAGTACTGATGAATGAACCTACCCTACTCCTTCTCACACCTGTTCAGTAGCCAGAGAAACCACCTATAGCAACTCAGACAACCACCTGTGATACTTTGGATTTGAATATTACTCATTCTGCTTTGGTGATATCTCTATTTCTTGTTGGTGAAAACACTAACAAATTCCAATAGTATATAATACTATATTATATACCACTGTATATAATAACTTGCATACCAATTTGTGCCCTATAATGGTGTTATACCATTTTGTTTTCATTATTTTTTGGATTAAGTAGTTGTACAAAGACAGTGCCACACCACAAAGCGGTTTATGAATAGACTGCGTCTTCCTCAGTGTCGCCCCTTCAATGTTCTCACCTGCCTGCAGCCCACTCCTTCCCTTACTTGCTTAATTTCATGGAAAATACAGTGAATTCTTGACTGCATTCTCCCCCACCCCCATTCATTCGTCAACCTCTCAGCCCTTGGCCCCATTTCCCTTTTTGGATGTACCCGTTCCCTAGCGTTGATTTTGTTGGGTTTGACCTAGTCTTTCTAAAAGATTATACTACTTGAGCTCTCCATAGAGTCTATTATACTTCACTTAATTCACTTGTAACCACTTGCATACCACCCAATGTGCTTACTTATAGATTTATGAAGGTAGCCATGCAACCTGTTTCTCTATACCCATTTTATGGTCAAGGAAGACTGAAAGTAAAGTCAAATTGCTTACCCCGCTGACAGGGCAGGTATCACAGGCAATAATTTGGTCCCAAACTGTCCAAGGTTTCCATCCACAGCCCCTGTGCAGGTTCCTAGGGGAGCCTCAGGCTTAGGCATGAGTTTCAACTATGGAATCTGTGCTTCTAGATCATTCCAGCAGCCTTCAGATGTCCCCGATTATCCTCTCTTCCAGTGGCTACTGTTACTTATGTCAATGTCTGTTAGACTCCTAGATGTCTGGGCCAAGACAGGGAGGTGCATCGAAATGCCATTGCCTTTGAGAGTGGGGCCAGTTATATCTGGGGAGAAGGAAATTAAGGCGTCTCTGCGAGTAAGACTCTGCTCATCCTTGGAGGTTTGCTCTGCCTTTGCACCTCTCAGTGCCTGCTAGGGCACAGATGGGCGAGAGTGGACGTGTGGACTATACTAGACCTCCCGAAAAATGTCTTTCTTCCTTCTTCCCACCAATAGCCAGATCAGCCCTAGCCAGATCCAGGGTTAAACAGATGCAAAATTGGCTTCCACTCTATGCTTCTGTGGACTCAGTCTATAAGTACTCACTGCCTTGTTGGGTCCGAGTTAGGTGCTGTGTGGGCCTGGGAATCCCCAGCTGAGCTCTTCTCTGTCCCCTGGGGGAGGAGGTGACAGCCAGCAGTGGGGAATGCAGGAGGGACGGGCATTGGCAGGGCATGTCTGTCAGCCAGAGGAGTGAACGTGACCACTTCCTTGCTAACTGGAAGGCAGTTATGCCTAGTAGAAGACATACCTGCAAATGTAACATAGGCTGTGCTACTTTTTACAACACTCGGGAATACGCCTTTTATTTTTTCTTCAGATGACCTTATGTCTTTTTTCTTTCCCCTCCCCATAGATTTTTAAAGACTTTCATGAAGGAGCCATTAATTTTGCACCCACCTACAAGTATGACGTTGGCTCTGCCGCCTATGACACAAGCGATAAGTGTCGCACCCCGGCCTGGACAGACAGGGTGCTGTGGTGGAGGAAGAAGCGACCCTTCGACAAAACGGGTGAGCGCACGGGGCCACCCCAGACCAGGTCTCAGGGGCAGTCAGCCACCCAGCCCGAGCTCTGCGTGTAAATCACGTCACAGAATGACATTCTGACATTGGATAAGTGCAAAGACCAAAATTGTCTCCTAGTGCCAAGCCCTTCAGAAGCTGCTGTGTGGGGTCCCCCCCCCCCCCCCCGCTCTGGCCGCGTTCTAGACTGTGACACGTGAATGCGCCAGTGCTGCTCTCCCCACCCACGCCACCCTCTGTGTGCCCACCCCACTCTGCTGATTGTTGGAGGAGGAAAGAGGAGCAAGTATTGGGGTGCTTCTCTTCCATTCTCATGCCCACTCACATGCCTGACATAGTCTTGAACTCTGGGCCTGGGCGCTGTCCCTCAGCTCTTCAGTTCAAGGCGTGTACTCTACCACTTGAGCCACAGCCCCACTTCCGGTTTTCTGGTGGTTTATTGGAGATAAGAGTCTCGTGGACTTTGCTCAGGCTGGCTTTGAACCGTGATCCTCAGATCTCAGCCTCCTGACTAGCTAGGATTACAAGCATGAGCCATCAGTACCCAGCTTTGATCTAGTCTATTTTTGTTCAACTAAACTCTTACCTACTTAAAGACCCAGTTCCAAATTCAACATGCACCAGACACAGGAAAAATTTAAAAAAAAATTTTTTTTTGGGTCCGGTTGTGGGCCTGAACTCTGGGCCTGGGCGCTGTCCCTCAGCTCTTCAGCTCAAGGCTAATGCTCTATCACTTGAGCCACAGCGCCACTGCTGGATTTTTTTTTTTTTTTTTTTTTGCCAGTCATGGGGCCTGAGCTCTGGGCCTGGGCGCTGTCCCTCAGCTCTTCAGCTCAAGGCTAGCGCTCTACCACTTGAGCCACAGCACCACCCCTGGCTTTTTCTGTTTATGTGGTGCTGAGGAATCGAACCCAGGGCCTCATGCATGCAAGGCAAGCGCTCTACCACTGAGCCACCTTCCCAGCCCATAATTTTTTTTATTATAAACATATTTTTTTATTGTGAAAATACTGTAGAGAGGGGGGTTACAATTACATGGGCAAGATAATGAGTACATTTCTTATCAAGCATTGTACCCTCCTCCTCTGTTTCCCCTTCCCATCCCTTCCCATCCTCTTCCCGCTCCCCCAACCAAAGTTGAAAAGTTGGTTTTTCGACATAATGACTTGTACATCTCATTGTTGCAATGGGTCCTCCTGTATCCCTGTTTTAAGGATTTGGTTTTTCCCTTCCCCTCCACAAACTATACCAACATCATATACAATGTAAGCAGGGGTTATACCGTGGGGGAGGGACAGACAAAGCAACAAAGAAATAATCTTATATGTTAGAAACAATTGCATGAAAGATCTCTCTCTTTTTTTTGTCAGTCATGGGGCTTGAACTCTAGGCCTGGGAGCTGTCCCTGAGCAATTCAGCTCAAGGCTCATGCTCTACCACTTGAGCCATAGTGCCACTTCCAGTTTTCTGGTGTTTTTTTTTTTTTTAATTGTGATTAAGTGATTACGTAATTTCCCAAATTTCACAGTATTGTGGGATAGTAATGCTCAGTTAAAGTCACAAACACATTCTAACTTTCCTGGAGCAAATTGTCTATCACGGTGTATAACATATAACAGTGTACACATATACACCATTCATGTGATCAGCAGCATGGGGTTATTTAGTAGTGGTTCGACCAGATGAGTAGAAGTTCTTTGTTTCTTAAGTCCTGTTAATTTTGTCATATCACCTAACATTTTGGATTTAACATCCACTTATCAGGGAGACCATGTACCGTTTGTCTCTTTGCTCTTGGCTTACCTCGCTCAACATGATTTCTTCTAGCTCCATCCATTTCCCTGCAAATGTCATTATTTTGTCCTTTCTAATGGCTGCATAATATTCTATTGTGTATAGATACCACAATTTTTGGATCCATTCATCTGTGGTGGAATATCTGGGTTGTTTCCATATCCTAGCTATTGTGAACAGTGCTGCAATAAACATGGAGGTGCATGTGTCCTTGTATATTGGTTACAGGAAGAATTTTTAAATCAGTGAATTCTCTCTCTCTCTCTCTCTATATATATATATACATATACATATACATATATATACATATACATATACATATATATATATGTATATATATATATGGTTTTTTTGGCCATGGGACTTGAACTCTGGGCCTGAGCGCTGTCCCTCAGCTCTTCAGCTCAAGGCTAGTGCTCTATCACTTAAGCTATAGTGCCACTTCCAGTTCTCTGGTGGTTTTATTGGAGAGAAGAGTTTCACGGACTTTCTTGCCCGGGCTGGCTTTGAACCTTGATCCTCAGATCTCAGCCTCCTGAGTAGCTAGGATTATAGGCATGAGCTACCGGTGCCTGGCTTTGTCAGTGTGTATTTTGAATGGTTATTGCTACCTAGTGGGAAGTGAAGTTTATTAAACTTGGAACTTCTGTAATCTGGTAGTTCTTCACTGTAGGAGCAATGTCTGCTGAGATCTCAAAACCAGGAGATACATCTGCAGGTAGAAAAGAGAAACTTTTCCTTGAGAGGACTCTGAGAACATCTTCATGGCTCCAGGCCACTGAGGGGGGCAGGCAGAAGAGTCTGACTTCATGGACTCTGCCGTGTCTCCATGCAGTGGCTACAGGGGATCTGCTACTGCTGGGTCCTCTGTGGAAACCTAGAAAACTGACAGGACAGCCACAGCCCAGCTCACCCTTAGCCTGCCGTAGGGAAGGGAGGCCATCAGGTCATTATTACCGTGGGCATCGACAGACCTCAAAGCAGTCCACGCCCAGGTTCAGGTTCAGGTTCAGGAGAGTAAAGTAAATGAGCCTGAGCCATGAGGTGCTTGGTGACAGATCTCTGCCGATATTTATAATTACATTCATGTATGATTTTGTTCCGTGAGCAGCTGGAGAATTCAACCTCCTAGACAATGATCTAGATGGCAGCACCAAAGTCAGGCACACATGGTCTCCTGGTACCCTCAGGTACTACGGCCGCTCGGAGCTGCAGGCGTCTGACCACAGGTAAGATCCTGCGGGGTCAGGCAGTGCCCCCTCCTTCCCGCAGGCAGCCTCATGAGCTTATGTCCTGTGTGTGTGTGTGTGTGTGTGTGTGTGTAAAATACACAGTACAGAAGAAAGAGGAGGAGCAAAAATCTGTGCATCCAGCACTACTTAGTACTTGTTAGCATTTTGTCGCTGCTCCATATAGTCAACCGCATCATGTGTGAGAATTTCAGTTTCAGAGCTGCAGTGGCGTTGGTATAGATCTGGCTTACTGGTTTGTGACTGCTGAAACAGACACATGGAATTAGCCCATTCACCTATCGGTGAAGCATTTCATTTGCATTTCCCTGCTGTAAATGCCATAGGATGTTTACATCTTGGATTCAGGGCTGTTCATGCTCTGAGTGGCTGGCATGGCCCTGGGCACCAACACAGGATGGAAGGGACCACAGGCGGCAGGCAGGTGGTGTCTGGAATCAGCCTATGAAATAACTCCTGCGAGATGTCAGGGTCAGGGTGGCATCTCTGCTTTGTGAAAGCAGCAGGAATTGGCACCAGTGGCTCACACATGTCACCCTAGCTATTCAGGAGGGTCACAGTTTGAAGCCTGTCCAGGCAAGAACAGATTTTTTTTTTTTTTGTCAGTTGTGGGGCTTGAACTCTGGGCCTGGGTGCTGTCCCTCAGCTCTTCAGCTCAAGGTGAGTGCTCTACCACTTGAGCTACAACGCCACTTCCGGTTTTCTGGTGGTTTATTGGAGATAAGAGTTTCACAGACTTGCTTGCCTGGGCTGGCTTTGAACTGCGATCCTCAGATCTCAGCCTCCTGAGTAGCTAGGATTACACTGGCCCCTGGCCTGTGAGATTTTTATCTCCATTAAACACCAAAAACCACAAGAAGAGCTGTGGCTCAAGTGGTAGAGTGCCAACCTTGAGTGAAAAAGCTAAGGGAGTTGAAGTTCTGGTATCTGCACCCAAGGGGCAGGGGGCGGGGAGAGCTATAACTAAGACTTGGGAAAGACAGAATCTAAAGCTCAGGCTTACAGGTGGACATGACATCTTCCAGCAGTGTGGTGGTGCCGGGCAGGTGGAGGCTGCGTGTGATGCGGCCGAGGTAACAGTGCTCTGCTCCCTCCCTTTCTGTCTGATGCAGACCCGTGTTGGCCATCGTGGAGGTGGAAGTGCAGGAAGTCGACGTGGGTGCCCGGGAGAGGGTTTTCCAGGAAGTATCCTCTTTCCAGGGTCCTCTGGATGCCACCGTGGTGGTAAACCTACAGTCACCAACCCTAGAAGAGAAAAACGAGTTTCCCGAGGACCTGCGCACTGAGCTCATGCAGACCTTGGGGAGTTACGGGACGATCGTTCTGGTCAGGTAACCTCCATCTCTCGGATGTGGGGACCCATGAGCACCCCGCCCAGTCCTTGCTCTGGCGCTGATTCCGCCAATCCCCTATATTCCAGAATCAACCAAGGGCAGATGCTTGTGACCTTTGCCGACAGCCACTCAGCTCTCAGTGTTCTGGACGTGGATGGTATGAAGGTAAGTGAAGCGTGTTCACCGGTGGAGGAGGGCTGACTGACTTCCACATTTATGTGGCCCTGTCTTCTCTTCCCCTCTGGGCCTGGTTACCCTCCAAGATGTCTGTGTATAGCCACTACATGGGGGAGGACCTGGGATCCTTCAGCTGGGTCTCAGGTATCTTGGAACTGTTGCAGGGGCCTGGCGTGTGGCTCCCGCTAAGTTCCTGGCACATCGTTGTACGTGCCTAATGCGGAAGCCTTTCCGTCCTTCCCCTGAGCTCCTGAGTTTTAGAGCATGCATCTCCTAGGTAGTTCCATTCTGACAAAATCTTGGTTTTAAATTCTCATGGAATGAAAAGCTGGTGATGGTAGCTCAGCGTCTATTTACCCTAAATGTATAGGAGAGCCATGCTGAACATGTCTGGGTCTCAATCTGGGCTTTTCTTGGCAAGAGGCAGAGATTGATTGGCCTTGGCACCTCATGTGACCAAAGGAAGCTGTAGTGACTCTTGTTCGCCGCTCTTGCTGTCCGTCCTCCCAGGTGAAAGGCAGAGTGGTGAAGATTCGGCCGAAGACCAAGGACTGGCTAAAAGGCTTGCGAGAGGAGCTCACTCGGAAACGGGACAGCATGGCCGCTGTGTCCCCCACCGCCAACTCCTGTTTGCTGGAGGAAAACTTTGATTTCACCAGCTTGGACTATGAGTTAGAAGGTTAGTGACCCGCAGGGAGAGGGAGAGGCAGGTAAGCTGTTCCTTCAGCAACAGGCAGGTGACTTCCAAGATCCTTCCTCAAACCCCACCCCACAAAGGTTAGGACACTGCAGTATGGCTGGTACATCTGTGGTGGGTGTGTTCCTGCGTGGGGAGATGGGGGGGGGGGAGTGGAGCGCTGTATGGGCTGGCATTAATGGCGGCTCTGAGGCTGTCCGGGCTGCAGACATGGGTGGAGGTGGGGACTGTCCCCAGAGACAAGGCTCACATGGCTCCTGGGAGATGGCTTCCAGCATCCTTATGTTTGTTGCTTTTGCTTCCCCGTGACCAAATGCCTCCATCAACCACGGAAGAATTGTTCCAGAGCCTGCACTCCGTTGTCCTTGGCTGCTTTAACACTGGGCGCCTGTGAGGCAGAGCATCCTGGTGGTGGGACACGTGACAGAAGTCACTCGCCCCATGGCAGACAGGAACCAGACAGAACACTGCCATGCTGGCCCTTTGGGCTATCTCCTTTCCCCCCTTTATTCCGTTTGCTCTCCTAGCCTATGAGGTGAGCCGTCCACATTCAGGGACCGTCTCCTCCTGATGTAGTCTCTCCTGGGATGCCTCACACGTGCTCCACAGGGATGTGTACTCCCCTTCTGTGCCTCCCAATCTGATCAGAACTAGCCAGCGCCAGCCCAGGCAGGCCTCTTGGATGAAAGGCTGGGCTGCTGCGTCCAAATGAAGTATTTTCCCCCAAACCGTGATTATTCTGCTTCCTAGGGGATGTCCTAGAAGATGACGACGACTATTTGGTGGATGAGCTCCGGCAGCCTGTGGTCTCAGACAGTGAGCTGGGCAGTGACGAGCCCCCGGATAACCATGGCTCCGTGGCGCCTGTCAGCAAGTCACCTGCGCTGAGGAAGAAGAAGCAACATCCAACGTACAAAGGTAGCTCAGCCCTCCTTTTCTCAGGAGGGGTGGGTCTCAGGGCCAGTCCAGCCTGGGGGCATGGGAGGGTAGAACTGGGCTCTGGGGAGGAATCTAACCTCCACCCTCTGATTTCCTAGGTTTTCATCTCTTACAACTTGTACACTTGGAACACACCAGATTTCACATCATCATGTTTCCTTTGTGTATGAAAGTAGCCACAGTTCTCCACTGGTTTTACATTTGTGACTTTCCCCACCCTCAAAAAAAAATTTTTTTTTTCTGGCCAAGTGCTTTTGGTTCATACCTATAATCCTAGCTACTCAGGAGGCTGAGATCTGAGGATCGGCATTTGAAGCCTACCTAGGCAGGAAAGTCCATGAGATTCTTATCTACAATTAACCACCAAGGAAGTCAGAGGTGGAGTGGTAGGGCACTAACCTTGAGCAAAAAAGTTCAAAGACAGGGTCCAGGTCCTGAGTTCAAGGCTCATAACCAATGGAAACATTTTTCTGATTCAACCCCTTAAGAAATATAATCAATATCTATGTCTGGATTATATTATTATATTTGATACAGTCATACAGTAGCATAATATAATTTTATTTCATTTATTTTATTTTTTGTCAGTTGTGGTGCTTGAACTCTGGGCCTGGGCTCTGTCCCTAAGCTCTTCAGCTCAAGGCTAGCATTCTACCACTTGAGCCACAGCACCACTTCTGGACTTTTCTGTTTTTTATGTGGTGCTGAGGAATCGAACCCAGGGCCTTATGCGTACCAGGCAAGCACTCTACCACTGAACTACCTTCCCAGTCCCCATAATGTCAGTTTAGAATTAAGAGGAACTAAATGGTCATGTGGACTGAAATATATGCCATGCACCAGTGGCTCACGCCTGTAATCCTAGCTACTCAGGAGGCTGAGATCTGAGATTGAAGTTCGCAGCCAGCCTGAGAAGAAAGTCGGTGAGACCCTTATCTCTAATTTACCATTAGAAAACCAGAAGTGGTGCTATGACTCAAAGTGGTAGAGCACTAGCCTTAAGAGGAAAAAAGTCAGGGACAATGCTCAGGCCCTATACATACATAGATAGACAGATAGACAGACAGATAGACAGACAGACAGACAGACAGACAGATAGATGTTTTTGTTTGTATATATAGATAGACATAGGTATAGATACATATGTATACATCTTTATATGGTTTTGTATATGTGTGTACATATATGTATATATAGTTATATATCCCTGAACCAAATGATAGTGATTCTTTCAGATAAATTTAACGTTCTTTTTAAGTTTTATTTTAAGTAGTTGTACAAAGGGATTTCAATTCAACACGTCATCTAGACAGTGTCACCCTTCCACCATTCACCTCTATCTTCTCCAGTCCTGTCCATCCCTTCAAGTTACATAGTTCAACTTTTATATGATGTACATTGACTATAATGACTGTTCAGATAAGTTTTAAAACTTTTGAGAACCAGGTGTTGGCGGCTCACTCCTGTAATCATGACTGTGCAAGAGACGGAGAGCTGATGATTGAGGTCCAAAGCTAGCCCAGGCAGGAAAGTCCGTGAGACTCAGCTTCAATTACCCAGCAAAAAGCCAGAAGTAGAAGTGTGGCTCAAGTGAAAGCATCAGCCTTGAATGAAAAAGCCAAGGGATAGCACTCAGTTTGAGTTTAAGCCTCCTTCCCCCTATACAACAAAAAACAAAACTCATGAATACTTCATGGCTGGAGGGAAGGCAGTTTGTATTTGAGCATCACACACATGCTGACAGTGTTCCATCCTAAAATGCCCAAAGTGCCTCCCCTTGAGGATTATTGTGTCCCCAGTGGAGGGCAGCTTTTTCAGGAGGTGCAGGAGCTTAGCTGTGTGTCAGAACACTGGAGCTGGGGCTGGGAGCAGAGAACAGGCTAAATGGGCCTGAAGGTGCTTCCAGGGAGAAGGATGCCTGGCTAGGACAGACACCACGATACCATGTCCCTTGGGCCAATCAGACGGACCAGTAGCTTGTCTCTCTCGAGCCATCAGGAGTAGTGGACCTTACAGGTGGCTGAGCCCATTACAGAGATTTGGATCTGGCAGGGGTGAGGTGATACCTTGGAAATGCGGCATTTCGTGAAGCTCCTAATCAGGTCTGCAGTTGTGGCCTTAGTCAGTGTGTGGAGGGTTCCGTGCAGGTCTGCGGTCGTGGCCTTAGTCAGCGTGTGGAGGGGTCTGTGCAGCTTGTGGCAGCGGCTCCGGCCTTGGTCTGGAAGCAGCAGAAGGCGGCATGTGCACTTCAGAGAAGAAGGCGGCCTTTTCTGCAGGGGTGACCATCTTCCAGGCGGCCTCTGGAAGCCAGAGCAGGCGAAGTGCGAGTGCTTATCTGAATGAAGAAATGGGTAGACGTGGGCATCCAGAGGGCCCCTCGGGCTGCGGGGTGTCTGCAGATGTGGGCTGAGCTGCCGGAGTTGGGCATGGGAGGTCTGAGCCAAGATTACGTGAGAAGGGCTGTGCCAGGTCCCGGGGGAGATCGGACGTGTCCCGGGTGTCTGCGTCCTCACACGAGCAGCTCCTCCTTGGCCCCCGGGGGCTGTACGGGACCAGTCCCTGAGGCGGGCCGTGGGAAGGGGCTGGCAGAGGCTTGATGTGTTTAGAATTTCAGGATGGCAGGGAAGGGAGCATCTCCTGTTTCTAACATGGGGGTCATGTTTTAGAGTAGTGAACAGACACCATGTCTTCCCTGAGGTTGGAGAATCTCTAGGGGTGCCGGTTTCCCACTGTCTCCTCTGCTTTGTGTGGGCTCTGGCTGATTAGACCAGAAGGAAACACCTACTCTGTATTCAAGGATGGCAGTCTCTCTCAAGGCTGGCAAACACACCGTGTCCACGGCTCAGTGACTGTTCCGAGCAGACACTGGGTGTCCTCTGCTCCGGTGGAGAGCGGCGGGGTCCTGAGTGGCTCCCTAGCCATCTACCCACTCTGGTCAGCGCCCTGACTAACCGTCCCGTTTGGAAAACACCATGTTTCTCACCCCTGCCGTGTCCTCCAGACGACGCTGACCTGGCGGAGCTAAAGCAGGAGCTGGAAGCCATGGGGGATTTCTGCCACCGTTCTACAAGCAGGTCTCTGTCGGTCCCCAATAGGTCCCGGCCACCTCACCCACCGCAGAGACCCCCCCCTCCAAGTAAGACTTCGCTTGCTTTGGGCTTGCCACCATGCCTGCTGGGAATAACCGCACACCTCCAGCTGCTGAAAACATGACTCTAAACCCACTTCCCACCGCTGAGTCACCCCCATGCCTTTCCCCACCTTGGACTCTCTTGGTCTAAATCCAGGGCACATCTGGTCACAGAAGTCATTGGGTTTCTCCTGGCACATGAAGTGAGACCTTTGGGGAGCTCTGTGTATCGTATAGCTCTGCCTTCGCTTCCTCCACTTTTCAGTCTGCAACCTTTAGAGTGGAAAATTGAGCTGGGCATGGTGGCGTACATCTGTAATACCTCTAGAGGCAGAGGCAGGAAGATCAGAAGCTCAAGGCCAGTCTGGGGTACATAGCAAAATATAAAAGGAAAAGTAGAGTGGAAAGAGTTTTGCAGTACTGTGAGGGAACTCTCTAGCTTTTCAGCACTGGATGCTTGCTTCCTCGCTGGCTGCGCAGGCCTCCGTCTGCTCAGTAGGGGTCTGACACCTACATCTCTAACGTGCATGCCTCTAGGCACGACCTCGGCCTCCTGTCCTGCTGTCCCTGGCATGCCTGAAGGTTGGAATAAACCCTGCCTGAGTCCCACAGGATAATGGTTTTCTTCTGGCTCTTCAGAGAATGCTTTTCCCACCAAGCTTGCCTTACTAATCTCAAAGTAAAGTGTGACATGCTTTTGATCTATGCACTTCTTCCTCCAAAACCATGACAGCCAGACATGAACTTTCTGAAGCTGTTTCTTTCAGAATTGAGTTCAGGATCATTTCTGTCACAATAATCCCTGGCACACCAGAAATGCAGAACTCTCAAAGCCGATTTTTTGCTTTTTGTAGGTCATACTCAAAAAAGCAAAATAAGACATAATAACTGAAAATAACACAAAAATAAAATTCGCAAGCCAGACACCGTGGCACATGCCTTCTCCATACTTGGGAAGTAGAAGCTGGAGGATTGAGTTTGGGGCTAAGCAAGACTCTTTCAGAAGTAAATTAAAGTTTTAAAAAGAAAATGTATAAATCATGGGTTTCTTACAGAAGTTTATAGAGAACTATAAACATTTAAATTTAAATTTACATGACTACCTGTTAATAATAGTTAACAAGAAGGCTTCTCCCTTTTCCAGTTATGTATATGTATATCTATACAAAATTTAAAAAAATTGTTTCAAACAAAATTGGTATTCGTTTTGTTTGGTTGTTTGTCTTTACTAAATGTGTCTTATTTTCTGTGTCATAAAATATTTTAAAATGCAACTTGTTGCAGACTGTCAGCATAGTTGATTTCTCTGATTTATAGGACTTCAGGTATTTGAAAACTTGGTTCTAATAATAGTTGTATGTTTTAACCACTTAAAAATCAAAAATTTTAAGGCAGATTAGAATTCTCCATGGTATTAGATTTAAAATGACATTCAAACCTTGCTTCTTCAGAGAAGCTGCATAATAGGTCAAGCTTTAGAGAATCTAAAGGCAAAATCTGGGGGAAGGCGGCAGTGTCAGCTCTGGAGACTAAACCAGGACCACCTGCATGCCACGCAAGGGCTTTACCTCTGCACACCCCAGCCTCAGCCTCCCAGTGGAAACTTTGGAGGTTCCCGTAGCCCTGACCCGTGGGTCAGTGCCATGGGTACCACGTGAGCACGCACACCTCACTGTCCCTCCTCTGGCCTTCTTCCAGGTAGCTGGCAACTTGAGCCAACTCTCAGGCTGACTTTCTGCCTTTGTTCTTTTTTTTTTTTTTTTTTTTTTTACAGCTGGTTTAATGGTGAAAAAGTCAGCCTCTGATGCATCCATCTCCTCCGGCACCCACGGGCAGTATTCCATCTTGCAGACAGCTAAACTTCTGCCCGGAGCACCTCAGCAACCAGTGAGTTCTTCCATTTTAGCATCCTGCTTCCAGCAAAGTGCTCAGGCTCTCAAACTCAGTGGACTGTCCCTAGGCCCATAGGATTTGTCTTTTCAACAGTGGTGCAGTCCATGGCTTGAGTCTTCTCCCTGCCCATCTCCTTAACTTGTTACAACTCCTTTACTCCTTTGTAGGCTGTAACATGCATGCATGTGTGTGTGTGTATGAGGCACACATTTCCAGTCCCTCCTGTGTCTCATGAATCTTGCCTTTGCTTTTGGTCTATAGAACATTGGTTGGTAGAAGGGAAAAAAGGAGAAATTGAGATTGCTTTGGCCATTCTAGTCGAAATGGCTAAAGAGAGGCCCACAGGACCTGGGTAATGAGTTAGAGCAGTGCGGCAGGAGGCCACACTAAGAAGATCAGGTCAGAGGGGGTGGCAGAGGGAGGGTCTTGGACCCTCTACCTCTCGTGGAAGGGTAGGTGACAGGTGGAGGTGAAGGAGTTGAAGCTGTCTGGGATGATGTCCACCACCTGGAGAGCTGGGCTGGGCAGGTACGTTGGGTCACGGCGGGTGTAGGGGTGAACCAGATGCCAGTGCGTCTATGATGAGGGCAGGCCTCTGGTGGCCAGGAGAAAACACACTTTTAGGAAGCTGTGTACCTGGAAGATGGTGTACTCAGGAAGGCCATGAAGATGTGGCCTCCTCCGCTCTTTTATCTGGTTATTGAAAAGATGAAAGATTGTTTGCCCTCATGACTGGCAAAGACCATTAGCTCTGACCATTAGTGCTTTTCTTCTTGAAATGTGTTTCCATCCTACGGAGCAATTGATGGCAGGGAGTGGTTTCTATTTTCAAATCGCCGTCTGATGGAGCTCTGCATGGCTCACGCCCATGTACAGGCTACCTACCACCTGCACAGACCGGCGGAGCATGCGCAGTTTAGGCCTGACGCCCACTCAAGTTCATATGCTTCTCTTCCCTATTCTGTCCTCAAGCCCAAAGCTAGGACTGGAATAAGTAAGCCTTACAACGTCAAGCAGATCAAAACCACCAATGCTCAGGAGGCAGAGGCAGCGATCCGGTGTCTCCTGGAAGCCGGTGGAGGTAGGTCTCCTGGCCCACGAGGAGTGGAACGCCCACTTCCTTCTCATCTCTTCTCCCACTGAGGCAGCCACAAAAAGAAAAGAGCTTTTTTTTTTTTTTTTGGTGGGGAGAATACCATTACATAGAAGTATCCTTTAGCAATATTTTATTTACTTACTTCCATCTATTCTCCATTTAAATTATGTATTCAAAATTCAGTACATTTTATAAAAATAATTGCAAGATTATTAAGCGGTATTTAAGGGAGATACAAACAATGATTTTTTTAAAGGTGACCAGTACATGCATGAATTCATTTGTCTTTGTGGAAAGTATATTTGTGGACTAGGCATTGTGGCTCACCCTTACATCCTAGCTACTTGGGAGGCCGAGATCAGAAGGATCACAGTTTGATGCCACCCTAGGCAAAAAAGAAAACAAAACCAGACCATTTTCAGGACCCTATGTCATCTAATAGAATCTGGACATGATGGTGAATACCTACCATCCTAGCTATTTGGGAAGCAGAAATAGGAAGATCCAGGTCCAAGTTAGCCCAGGTGCAAATATGAGCACCAACTCAAAAATTAACTGACACAAAAATGGCTGGGACCATAATTCCAGGAGTAGAACTACTGCCTACCTTGCATTCAAGAGAAAGAACCTGAATTCAAAATCTAGTACTACAAATAGTAATAAAGTAGAAGAAGCTGCCAACAGATGTAGTCTGCACTTCAGACACAAAATCTACCTCCTACTCTGATGAGTGTAGATAAATTCTATATGTCAGAGCAGGACCACTGGAGAAACTGCTGTTTCTCCACTTAACCATGCCATGCTTTAGCAGGAAGCTCCCTCCTTCACACAGTCTCTGGTAACTATCATTTGTTGGTTTTATTCCAGAAGAATCTCTTTTGTTTTTGTTTTTGTTTTTTTTGGGGGGGTCCGGTCGTGAGGCCTGAACTCTGGGCCTGGGCGCTGTCCCTCAGCTCTTCAGCTCAAGGCTAGCGCTCTACCACTTGAGCCACAGCGCCACTTCCGGCTTTTTTCTTTTTGCTTATGTGGTGCTGAGGAATCGAACCCAGGGCCTCAGGCATGCAAGGCAAACACTCTACCACTGAGCCACCTTCCCAGCCCCAGAAGAATCTCTTTTGGAAAGGAGAGAATTATGCTCCTGAAAAGGGCATATGCATTTATAATCGCCTAATTTGCTTTTCTTCAGTGTACTTAACCTACTTGGGTTAGGAGGTTGAGAAACTGTAGGATCATACAGCAGAGTTAGTTTTTAAATTTCATTAACAATAGGACTAAAAGTGTGATTGAAATAGCCCTTCTGCCCATCAACTGATAAATGGATAAACAAAATTCAGTGCATCCATCCAATGGTATATTACATAGACCTAAAAAGACTCCATCATGGACAGACTTATGAAACCTTAATTGCCATGAACACATGTGAACCCTGAAATTCTCTATTTCAGGTACCACAGAAATGCCCAATTCATCCCTCAATGCCATAGCCCTGCGGGACCAAGGATCCCCCAAACCAGATCGCACCCCCGGGAGCACCAAACTGGACACTTCCCAGGGGCTCCTGATCCTACCTCGCCGGCCCGCACCCAAGGTTCCGGTCATCAAGAAGCCAACCTTGAGGAGGACGGGGAAGGTAAGAGACAGCAGAGCAGGGCAAGCTGCTCGAATGACTCACTAGATTCAGTGACGTCTCGGACTGAGCCATCTAGTCGGATTTGGTTTCTCCATTCAACATCCCATGGTCCTAGCCCCAGCCTAGACCTTGAGGAAAATGTTTTAACAACCACTTTTTCCTTATCTCCCGGCTGGGTCTCAGCTCTGCTGAGCAGGACAAGAATCGCCCTAAAGGGATCGTGTCCCCTGACTGTGATGAGCCCTCACACAGAACCACAGTGGGGTGCTTTTCCCCCTGGGGGTCCCTTGCTGGCGTTCATGTGTGCTGCGTGCACATGGCTTCACATGTGCAGATTGTATGTGCTTAGGAAACACGGCCTGGTGTCTAGACGAGCCGTCTTCCTCTCTCCCATGCAGCAAGGCCTCCTGGAGGCCCCACAGTTCTTCTCGCCACTTTTCTTGCAGATTGTGTTTTGCTCTCGCTCCCAAGCTTCTCAGCCTTGCTTACTGCTTCAAAGACATGAGTTTGTAAAGACAGTAGCTGCCCAGAGACTGGCACCTATAGACACATCCGGAACTGCCGTTTGATCTCAGTTCTAGGAACGGGCACCTGGTAAACCCTGCCTGAGCACCAGAGTGACTGCCGCCTCTGCCAGCCCTGCGTGAGCGTGGCTATGCCCGGCCCCCTCCACTGAGCATGCTTCATCTCTTCCTCGTTGTGTTTCTGTCCGTGCCGGTGCATTGTTGTCTGTCCATTTTCCATGCTTTCTTGCCAGATCAACCATTTCCTTCTTCCTCTCCATGCATTTGCTTTGTGTTTGCTTTTAAAAGCCAGGAGCCAAAGTGGATTCATTTTCCCAAGCAGCTGTTCAGGAGTTACTATGGAGAAGGGCTTAAACTTCTAGTTTGGTCTCCAAAGAACCAAAGGAAGCACCGGACAGCCAATGCTTAACTCCGGTAGCCACTTCCTTACAAAAAAAGCTTCATTTCACCAGGCGTCGGTGGCTCATGCCTATAATTCTAGCTACTCAGGAGGGTGAGATCTAAGGATTGCAGTTCAAAGCCAGCCCAGGGAAGGAAAGTTTGTGAGACTTTACCTCCAGTTAACCACCAGAAAACTGGAAGTGGTGCTGTGGCTCAAATGGTAGATCGCTCTCCTTGAGCTGAAGAGCTCAGGGACAGGGCTCAGGCCCACAGTTGAAGCCCCACGACCAACAACAACAACAACAAAAAGTTTCATTTCATGTTGTGTAACAAGTCAAAACCTAGAAAGTACTGGGCACCTGTAGCTCATGCCTGTAAATTGTACCTGCTCAAGAAGGTAAGATCTGAGGATGGAGGTTCAAAGCCAACCCAAGCAGGAAAGTTCATGAGACACTTATCTTCAGTTAACCACCAAAAAGCTGCAAGTGAGTGGAGGCACAGGTGGCAGAGCGCTAGCCTTGAGCAAAACACTCAGGGACAGCGCCCAGGCCCTGAGAAAAACCTAGGAAGTGAAGTCCCTGTGGAACATTCCTCCCTCTTCTGTATCAAAATGGAAAAGGTTGCAGGGGAGAGCATCCAGGGGAGAAGGCGGCTTTGGAGGGGTTTCCTTGGAGTGAGGGAAGACCACGACCGTTTCCTGTGGCACAGACAACTTTGTCTCAGAATTCTCACAGCGGCCCTGGTTTTAAAATCCCCACACACGTTTCCTTGGACGTGTTGGGCTGACCTGGATGGTGTGTTTCTGCCACGCTTTCTCATACCTGGTCACATTTCTGGCATCCCAGACATTCTCCCATCCCAATACGGCCAGGATGCCAGCGCAGTCTCTCCTTCTGTCTCCTGCTGACCACTGAGCGTTCTGTGTCTCCTCTGCCCCAGGCTGGCTTCTTATTACACTCTTGTCTTGCCTTTTCTCAGCTCCTGTCACCAGAAGAACAGTTTGAGCAGCTGCCTGTCCACTTTACAGTTGGTCCCCCAGACACAAGTCTTGAACCCCCTCCTCCGTCAGCACTCCCTCGAGTTCCACCTGTTCCCAAACCGAGAACATTTCAGCCCGGGAAAGGCATCGAGCGGAGGCCCAGCAGTGGACCGCCAGCACCGGAGGAGGTCCCGGCGGCAGGAGCAACCCAGCCGCCGTCCGTCGCGGTGCCCAGGGTGCCCCCGCGGAGAAAGAAGTCTGCACCCGCAGCCTTCCACCTGCAGGTCCTGAAGAGCAGCAGCCAACTTCTCCAGGGCCTCACGTGCCACCCGGGCGGGGCGGGCAGCTGCCCACCCGGACTCCAGCCGGACGCCAGCCCTCTCTGCACACAAGTGGGTTTTCTTGACCCTTCGTCTGCCACAAGCCCCCACACTGATGGCCCCAGAGACCCAAAGCCAGACGCAGCCTCTCTTCTTGATGAGTATCAGGATCCCTTCTGGAACCTTCTCCACCACCCTAAACTATTGAATAACGAGTGGCTTTCCCAGAGCTCTGACCCTCTGGCCTCAGAAGCCAGGAGCCCTGAGAGATCACACAGGGACCCTGCATGTGTCGGGACCCAGGATCTGTCGCTAGACCTTGAGGAAAAAAACTTCCGCCACTGGGCGACCATCAGTAACAAAGACAAGAGGACCACGCTGCAGGTGTTCGACCCCCTGGCAAAAACATGACGCAGCACCCACGCAGCAGACCGGGCCTAAGACACGCCTGCCGAACACACTGGACACCACACTGCGCATCGCCCACTCATGTGTACTTTACAAAAGTTGTGTCTCTTATTCAATAACGTCACAGTTCAGCCACCAGAAACGTCTTATGTAGGACGTGTGCACTTTAAGGTCTGCTCTCAGGGTAAAAGGAAGACTTCAAGGTTCAGGGTATGGATTTTAAGGCAAGGAAATCTAGATAAGACCCAGAAAGTTCTGTGCTGTTGAATTTTAAATGGTAGTTCGATTTATGTATGGGCTTTTTGATGTTGCTGTTTTGTGTTTGCAGATTTGGGGTGACGCCTTGGCAGCCTGCCTAAAGGTGGTGCACGGAGGGTGCTGATCATGGTCGTTGGTACTATGAAGAACTGTCTGGCCCACTTTAGAGCAGGTTTAAAAACATCCAGGGTTGGAAACTGCAGCTAGGTCACCCCAAAGACTAGCCCAGGATTCCCCAGAACCCTGTGTTTGTGCAGGCAGCCCCTCTGCCACAGCGCCCACCAGTCACAGATCAGAAACACCCAACACGGACAGACTCTTCTCTTGTAATTATTCCCTAAGCATTACAGCAAAGTAACTATTTGTACAGCATTTATACAACGAGGTATTTCAAACAATGATCGAAAGTGTGCAGTAAGATCCATGCACGGATGACATATGAACACCATGCTGTTTTCTGTAAGGGCCTTGAGTTTCTGTGGCACCTCCCAGCGAGGGATGCCTGTACACTCAGTAACCTGATCGTGTGTGCATCCTCTGGGAGCCATAGCTTCCACTTGGTTTGGACTCATGGCGGCTGTACCTATGTTGTGATCTTCTTGAGCTGCGGTGTGTGTCTACCTAAGGATAATCCAGTTTGTGTCCACCATTTTGTTTCTGCCATACAACTTCATAGGCATTTTATATACCCCATAAGAGGGAGAGAAAGAAGGGAGAAGGAAGATCACCAACTAAAGATGGCTGAATTTAGCCATCTTTCACATACAGGGATGTACCATGTGTCCCTCAGCGAGGGGGAGAATCCTGAAGGAGATGCTGACAGTGGGTCCTCTTCCCCGGGCATGCACAGCAGGCCTCTAGATGTCCATAAATAGGTGATCAGACAAAAGAGGGTGTTGAGATGCTCAGTTCTTCTTCTGTAATACTTGCCTATGTGAAAGGATTATGTTGTTGCAGAGGTTAAAAAAAGTTTAAAAAAGGTGGATTGCTTGGAGAAGTGAAATGATTGGCCAAGATGTCCATGAGCTCTAATAGGTACAATGAAGAATGGAATTGAGTTCTTTACAGATGCTCCTTCTCTATACCCACTTTCTCACAAAGAGGTACCTGAAGTAGAAGGGTTCAGAAGAGCAGAAGTCAATTCCACAAAGGTTGCTTGTGATGCCAGCAGGAGGCCTCTTCGTTTTACAACAAACAACAAGTGACAAGCAACTGGAGAATCTGAGTGAATACTAACATCCAGAGTTGTGTTCACTTGAATAGGACTATCACAAGAAAAGGGATGGCGCCAGTGGCTCACGCCTGTAATCCTAGCTACTCGGGAGGCTGAGAGCTGAGGATCATGGTTCAAAGCCAGCCAGGGTAGGATAGTCCATGAGACTCTAATCTCCAATTAACCACTAGAAAACTGGAAGTGGCACTGTGGCTTAAATGGTAGAATGCTATCCTTGGGTGAAAGAGCTCAGGTACAGTGCCCAGGCCCTGAGTTCAAGTCCTACCACCAACCAAAAAGAAAAAGAAAAAAATGATGAGTAATGCCAGGTGACAGTGTCTCCCGCCTGAATCCTAGCGACTCAGGAGGCTGATCTACAGATTGTGGTCCAAATCTTAGCATGGAGAGAGAAGTATACAGTACCCCATCTTCAAAATAACCAGCAAAAAAGCCAAGAATAGACATGGTTCAAGTGATAGAGCACCATCCATGAGCAAGCAAGCACTGTTTAATACCACTGTTCAGTACCAGCACCCCCCCAAAAAAAATTAAAAGTGCTTTAAGATTGAGAATTGAAGTAGTAGTGTTTGATTTGATCATGTGTGTTAAAGTGTAATGAGCAGCATAGACTGAATTTGAGTTGGTAGTATAATTTTCACACACAAGTTTCTCTTAAAAGTAAACATTTAGAATATCCTTATCTAGTTTATAAATGAATGCTTACCAGTTGGAAGGCTTCCCAAGCTAGCAGGTGACTGAATTATCTTGACCGTGAGTAGCAGCTCCCCAGGGGATTTCATTCTCTTTTAGTTTGGGTCATCTTATTGACTAAACATGATGCAATTCACTACTGTCTCTCTGACACATGGTATAGTTGCTTTCACCGTGTAATTTTCTCAAACCTATTAAAATTGTTCTAGTGATTGCAGTATGCAGGAAATATGTTCATCCAGTTCTTGTAAAAGTTTAAAGTGGCTGAAGTTCAAGACACTTAAGTTCTTCTTGACTTTGCATAAGTAATGTATTAAAGCATTAATTTTATAATAAAAACATTTTATTAGGGAGTTAAAAAGATTACTTATTGGGAGACTAGTGTTAATAAAAAACCCTACAGTGTTTTTTTGACTTATAATTTGTACTGATGTTGTACAGAATACCTATTAAATATTTTTGTCTTTTTAAAAATTGGGCTCATTTTCTTCCAGATATCAAGAGAACCTTGGAATATCTTCTTTGGCTAGCCTTCTGTTTTGGACCAAATGCAATTGCTACTTACCCCTCAGTGTAAGTTTTCTGTTTTGGTTCTTTTTTTTGACTCATCAAATGAAGTTGAAAAGGCAAGAAGGTAACAAGATTAGATAATATATATGACGTGAGTCATACTAAGTTAAGAGAGAGGCTGAGATGGGGAGGATCCTGGATCTACACCAGCCTGGGCAAAATAGTCTTCAAGACTTCATCTCAGTGGAGGGAAGCTGGATGCACCTGTGGTGTGCACTTGCCATCCCAGCAACTATGGGAAGCCTAAACAAGGCAGATGGTAGTCTGTGCATGTGCCCAGAGAGGAAGCAAGAACCCTATCTCAAAAATAACCAACATAAAAGAGGGCTGAAGGCATAGCTCAATGGTAGAGAAGCACATTCCTAGTAAGTGTAAGGCCCTGAGTTCAAACCCAGTACAGGCAGAAATAATTTATGACTTGAAAGCTGCTGACAGGGACCACTGCTGCACTGTGTAAGATTTCAGGATGCTCGAATTCACTTTCTGTAGGACATTATATCAAACCAAGTACACCTTGAATGGCAAGGATGGTTTGAGCACATTATTTTGTAGAGGCGGGGGAAGTTCTGTCCAGATACACTAATACACAAAGTGTAGGTCATAATGTTCCTTGGTGATTTTCAGGAATTATGAATGTAGTGACTATAGTCAATGCAGGCTGCAGAAGGATTGCAGCCTGTCCTAGGAAGGACTGTACTGCATTCACATGACCCCAGTGTGCAGCACTGGGACCTGGGTGCCAGGGAAGAAACAGCTGGTCGCAGGACCTTCTTTTCCAGGGTGGTGGAGGTGGGATTGAGCTTCAGTATTATTACTATTTTTATTGTATTATTTTTATTGCATTACTACTATTGCATTTTTTGTCAGTCCTGGGGCTTGAACTTGGGGCCTAGGTGCTGTCCCTAAGCTCTTATGTTCAAGGCTAGCTCTGTACCACTTGGGGACACATCTCCACACATCTCCGGTTTTCTGGTGATTAATTAGAGTCTCACAGACTTTCCTGCCTGGACTGGCTTTGAATCTTGATCCTTAGATCTCAGCCTCCTGAGTAGTTAGGATTACAGCCATGGGCTACCAGTGCCCAGCTGTCTTGCTATTTTTGACATCACTGTTTCAAACAATATGCCTGTCTATCCATTTACCCATCCATCCATCCATCCTATTGCCTAGACTTAGGTTGTAACTAGATTTTTCAATAACTAACTTTTTATGTTTCTCTTTAAATCAATTCTATCTTATTTGGCTCCTAAATATTTTCAGTCTGTATTTTCAACATTTTTTTTCAGTCTTAATACTGTAACTACATCCAACAAATAGCATTTACTTTAAATTTTATATCCTATGTTTACTAATATAATTTTTTTATATTGAGAGCACTGGCAATCTTGCCAACCTTTCAGAATTTCTAACAATTTCCTGTGTGTTAATACACTTAACATGCCAGTGGATACAAGGGATCCACTTATGCACCATCTTCTTAAGGTTTTCAACTATATCATGTCAAACCATCTAGGCGATACTGTCTAATTATAGCAATGTTAAAATATTTTGAAATGTGTTGTAATGAAAAACTGGCACATTTCAATTCTTCTTTTCTCATCCTTGAACTTTAGATGCCCTTTCCTTGCTGTACCGCTGTTGAGAATATTTACCACAATATTTAAATACAGTAGCAACTATTCTTGGTATTCTTATTCCCAGAAGTTAGTATTTTTGCTCTTTTGTTGTTTTCTTCAAATAGCCTTTACTAAAGTATCTTTCTAGCTTGCAAAGATTTTTTTTTATAATTGGTGGTTAATTTTATCAAAAAAATTTGGGCTGGGAAGGTGGCTCAGTGGTAGAGTGCTTGCCTTGCATGCCAGAGGCCCTGGGTTTGATTCTTCAGCACCACATAAGCAAAAAGAAAAAAGCCGGAAGTGACGCTGTGGCTCAAGGTACAGCGCTAGCCTTGAGCTGAAGAGCTGAGGGATAGCGCCCAGGCCCAGAGTTCAGGCCCCACGACCGGACCCCTCCCCCCCCAATTTTTTTCTCCATGTATTGAGATTAATTATTTTTCTTTATTTTGTATGCTAATATGATAAATTACATTGATCCATTTTGCAAAGCTTGAATTTTTGGCATAAACCTTTGACAGCTATCCTTTTAAATATTGCTGGATTAGTTTGTATGTGTGTGCCAGTACCTGGGGCTTCACTTGAACTCAAAGTCAGTTAACTTTTAGTTTTTTCACTTGAGTCTAGCTCTGTGTCACTTGAACTATACCTCCAGTTCTGAGTCTTTACTCATTGAGAAGACTGTCAGATTTGTCTGCCCAGGATGGCTTTCAACCATGATTCTCAGATCTCAAGCTCCTACAGCTAGGATTACAGGCATGAGCCACATTGCTTGGCTTACTTGTCAGTATTTTAGCTTAAGATTTTTACATCTGGGGCTGGGAAGGTGGCTCAGTGGTAGAGCGCTTGCCTGGCATGCCTGAGGCCCTGGGTTCGATTCCTCGGCACCACATAAGCAAAAAGAAAAAAGCTGGAAGTGGCGTTGTGGCTGGAGTGGTAGAGCGCTAGCCTTGAGCTGAAGAGCTGAGGGACAGCGCCCAGGCCCAGAGTTCAGGCCCCACGACCGGACCCAAAAAAATAAAAAAAAAAAAAAGATTTTTACATCTGTGTTCATAATTACAAGTAGCTGATTACTTTCTCCTTTTTTTTTTTGGTCCAGTCCTGGGGCCTGAACTCTTGGCCTGGGCACTGTCCTTCAGCTCAAGGCTAGTGCTCTACCACTTGAGCCACAGTGCCACTTCCGGCTTTTTTTCTTTTAGCTTATGTGGTGCTGAGGAATCGAACCCAGGGCCTCAGGCATGCAAGGCAAGCGCTCTACCACTGAGCCACCTTCCCAGCCCACTTTCTCCTTTTTGTACTGTCCTTTGATACAGTTATGGTATACAAGTTGTATTAACCTCAGAAAATGAATGAAGGTGTGCAATCTTTCCAATGAACTGGAAGAATCTGATAATAGAACCATTTCCTTGGTTGGGAGCCCTCATCTGTAATGTGCACTAGGCTTAGAGTAAGTCTGTGACTTTTTAAGTCATTGGTTCTCTTCCTTTAATGGTCATAGGATTGGCCATGTTTTCTGCTTGGAGGCAGTTTGGATGTGATGGTCCATCCTGTCAACTTGGTTGGATTGGAAAGCCTAGGAGATTAGTAAACATGTCCGTGTGTGTCTGCGAGGTGTTTCCAGAGGTTGGGGGGAGGGGCGGGGAGGAGATACCCTGGACACCATGATCTAGCAGCCCTGCCAGGCCTCTGTCAGCCATCTCCACCACGATGGGCTGAAACTCTGAAACCAGGAGCCAGATGCATTTTTCCCTTAAGTTGTTTATCTCAGGAATTTTTTACAGTGATAGAAAGGCTAACTAACATACCAAGTTTTATTTTTCTTGGAATTTTCTGTTTCATTTAAAATGTAATCAATTGTGGGGCTGGGAAGGTGGCTCAGTGGTAGAGCGCTTGCCTTGCATGCATGAGGCCCTGGGTTTGATTCCTCAGCACCACATAAGCAAAAAGAAAAAAGCCGGAAGTGGTGCTGTGGCTCAAGTGGTAGAGCGCTAGCCTTGAGCTGAAGACCTGAGGGACAGTGCCCAGGCCCAGAGTTCAGGCCCCACGACCGGACCCCCCCCCAAAAAAAATGTAATCAATTGTAAGCATTCACACTAAGGTTCTTATACTTGCTAGGTAGCTGCTCTTAACCACTGAACCATACTTCCAGACCCTATTTTTTCTGATTATTTCTGAAATACGGTGTTTCCTGCCCAGGCAGGTACATGGTGTGATCTGCCTGTGCTAGTCTTCCTGTCATGGCTAGAATCAAACCACCATGTTCAGCTTTTCATTGAGAAGGGATCTTGCAAACCTCTCTGTCTGAACTGGCCTCAAAATGTGATTCTGTATATCTCAGCTACCCAAAAAATGAGTGTTGTAGGCATAAACCACCAGCACTTGACTTTTTTAAATGCCAGGTGCTGGTGGCTACTCAGGAAGCTATAAATCTAAGAATTGTTGTTCAGAGCCAGTTCAGGCCGACAAATCCTTGAGATTTTTATGTCTAGTTAACCAGCAAAAGGCTGGAGGTGGAGGTGTAGCTCAGGTGGCATAGTACTAGCCATGAATGAAACAGAGCAAGAGGAACTAGCAAAAAAGTCTACATTACAGTGATATCTCCTTTTTATGACTGATACTAATAATTTGTCCCTTCTCTTATTGTGATTGCTCTTACAAGAGGTTTGTCAATTTTATGGATTTTTTTCCAAGAATCAACTTTAGATTTATGAAGACTGCTTTTTTCATTTCATTAGTTTATGTTCTCTAAGCCCTCCTTCTATTTTCTTTGGTTTTCATTTTTCTGTGGTCTTGGCAGAGTGCATGGTTCGTTTCGTACACGTTTTGGTAGGGTTTATATTTATTCTCCATCCTCGTGTGCATTGCAAGTGTCCAGGTAAACACCTGGTGAGGGGCTCTACATTACCACATAGCTCACATCTGTATTCTCTGCCCCCTACTTTTTTGGTCTCCTTGTTCTTTAAGTTCCAAGATACATGTCAACATCTTCATGTAGTTTTCTACATTTTTATATTATGTAATTATAGATGACATACAAGTAATTTTTAAAAAACTATTTTCTATTGAAAGTAGTTGTACAACTTTGTGACTATACTAAAAACCAATAAACACTTTAAAAGGGTACATTTTGGACTGAGGATCCAGCTCAGTGGTACAGCATCTCCCTAACAAGTGTAAGGCCTGGGATTCAATCCCCAGCACCACACACAAAAAGGAAATTTTCAGGTATGTGAATTATATTTCAATAATACTATTATTCAAAAGCACATTATTTTCTCACATGCTAGTGGTTATCTAGTACTACTTCTACACGAGCAAAGAAAGAAGGTATACTTTATTTAGCCAAAGAGAATATGAAATCTTACTAAGTTCTGTTAACATCTAGTGGC